GTCATTTGTTTAATGTCATTTGTTTTTAATGCTAATTTTTTAGAATAAGGCACTAAATTGTTTGATTTTGCAGAGAATCGAGCAAGTTTGTAGGACTAGCTGGTCCATGTTTTGCATAATTTGAAAGAAAAATAAACATCAGGCTAATGCAATTTCTCATATCTGTATTTGATTAAAAAAACATTATAATTAAAATTGATTTAAATGTAGTCTGTTTCATACTGTTAATTAAAATCTGTTTCATACTATGTTATTCAAACACTGTTGGTAACCTACTTGTTTACATTTTCCTAACAGTAAGACACAATCAGCAATATCATTAGAGGGTAATCTTAACAGACTATAACAAAAAAAGATAAACAATGCAAATTATACAAACAGTACTGTACATATTAAAGTAACAATGATCAATTTTCCTTGTCAATCAGTATTACACATAGTTAGTCAACATTTCACTTAGGAACTTCAGTTTTTTATTGTCCCAAGCACTAAAAATTAGCATGTTTCACATTATTTCGCCATTACAAGCTAGGCCATGCCCCATTATTTAGGGCATGATCGGGTATTTTCACTAAAACATTACAAGGTCAAGGGATCCTACCCAATGCCAGGATATAAAGAGAGAGAGAGAGAGATCTAATAATTTCCCTTCTTCCTGTGTTTATTCGTCAATATTCGAGAGGGTGCAGTTGCACGTTTTATTAATCACCCACCAGACCACGCCGTGGACTCCACGGAAACTTTCGTCCATGGTATGGAAATTATCTGACAAAGTTTATTAAATACGATGAATGAAAATACTTGTCAGACACTTGCGATATATTTGAAAATTATGTTTACCTATTAGATGATGGTTCTCCTAACGACATTCTCTTCCTGGAACAAATTCATGGAGAATATGCAAACATTCGAATCTGCTTTGAAATTGTTGACAAAAAACAATAAAATAATTTTATACCAAATATAAACGCCTGCGATCCTTTAAGCAAAAACAAGATACAATACTTCATCTTATGAGACTAAAATGGATGACATTCGTGGACACAGATGACACAGAACAGGAAGTGCATGTGTTTGCGTTGCCTTGGCAGGTGAATGCTGTGTGGCATTTCTGCAAGCCGTTACAGAACAATAAACTATTTGATTTTTTGACATATTCTCAAGCCTTTGTCGAAACCTTGAAGAATGGTGAGTAGCGTTTTAGGTTGTTCCTGGTGCAACGTATGAAACCCGATTTCTAGGGATTTTACATCTAATTCTATTAAATAATCACGCAAGCGGCTTTTTTAATATGCACTGTGCACAAAATGCATTCAAACTAATATTATGTATATTTGGGTTGTAATGATTTATAAATATATAGTTATATTTATAAATATATAGTTTTAAATATATCTTTGTATATTTTGGTTGAGTAACTTGAGTTCAGGAGATACACTTGGACGATTTTGCAAAGCTTAGTAAAATAACACAAACTGAGTTCAGTGTAACAGTATGGGGCACGAATTGTATACAATGGGCACGTAATACACTTCATACCAATCACTTTCGACGGAAAAGGGGATGAAATTATGGTGAAGTAGTGTTAAACTGTTAACTGTAATGAGTGAGATGATACATAGAATTGTGTTCAAAATTGGAATGGCAACATTTCCCTGATTGGGCCATATCCATGATGAACCCTATAAACAACAACATTACAAAAGAATTAACACTTCCTATTCCGGTAAGATGCATAAGTCTATTAAAAATATATAAGCTGCTGTTGAAGGCTTGAAGCCTCAGTCTGACGAAGACTAAGGGCTTGACCATTCACTAATTAGTACAGCAGCATTGTTTAGATCTGATGTCTTTTATATGTGCACATGTACAATGTGCTGTGTGGATTAATTGGTAATCTTTTATGAACATATTAATTGTTGGCTATTATTGCAACCACAAATTGCCTATAACTGAATGAATTTGTTTTTTTAACCTCTGAACCTCAATGAAAACTAAACTGAACAAATAGCAACTTATATCACAAAGTTAGCTATTACCAATCATTTTGTAAAAATAACAAGGTGCAACTACAAGTGCAAACCACATTTTTTGCAATTTTGACTACTTGACTGCCTTGATTGAGCTATTAAACATTACTTATTGTACAAAGCAATAAAATTAATGAATAAACAGTAAGCTATAAATAGCATGGAAGAAATATATTTATTTGGTCACTTACATGAGTTTCATATGATTTGAATAATATGTTAGCTAGTTAATTAATTATAGATATGTGAAATTTGGCTGTCTTTAGTCACTTGGAAGATGCCTAATCTTTTAAAATATGCTATTGCAATATACGTACTACATGCTATTCTTCATCTGATAAATCATTTTTTGCATTGTCAGACATATATTAATTATAGCAAACAGCATCCGTAGAGTGCAACAAATTCAAATTGTGCCAGCTTTTATTCTCTTTCTGCCTATCTTTGGTTAATTTGAAAGCATACATAAGCTATAATGCACCTCAACATATTATGCAGATATACCTGATAAAACAGGCATGCATTTTTTTCTGTTTACGACCATGTCCCATTGCAAGGTTGTAAAAAATGTCTGAAATCACACTTTACCTTACTTGATACAAGTTAATTGAGCATATGGTACTTTGTGATTGTGTTAATTAATTTTTGGTTCTCCAAAGTGATTTTTCTTCACACCACACTTTCTGCATGAAAAATTAGCCAGCCCAATTTTAGTGCATGGGTCTGCTCTAACTGTCAAATACTTATTATAGCTAGCACTACACTTAACAAAGCTGGTGTTGTCAAAAATAGTATAGTTACACCACCTAGCATCTGAGTTTTTGAAGAGTTAACAATATAGAAGTTAGTCTAAAGGAGATATGTGTGGTGTAAGTAATAAACTATTGTAGTTCCTTAGTGAGAACCTTAATTACTTAGCTACCTGGACCTGAATGTGCAAAAATAATTACTGTCATAAATCTATTTTTAGGTATAATGTATTTAATTGTCAATATATATATACCGATTACATATCCTGTTTCAGACCATTTAAAAGCCATTAACTTTACTGAAGTAACTATGCTTTTAGCCAGCTTAAACTTTTAAGCTTAATTTCTCAAGCCTGGCCAACTAAGCCCACCTTAATTGTTAAAATTATATCATTTGGTGCAGGGGCTCAGCTAGTCCCCCCCCCCCTGGTAGTTTTTCAGGGCATAAAGTTGTCAAACATTGTTTAGCTGCTCATATTACAGTATATGCTTAAATCAATCTCATCTAATAGACATTTTCGGTAATTACATCACAACATTTTAACATCACAACATTTTAAATTTGGAACCACTTTAAATGAAACACTTCTCGACGTTTGACCTGAGGGCCTAGCTTCGTAAGGAGAGTTTTATCACATTTGATGCTAAGTTGTTTGAAGACGCTGCCACGCTGCTCCCTGGTTATATTGCAACGTATCCACACCTTGAATGAAATTGATTTCAAGTATTACTCTTACGAGCCACGTGCAAAGATGCAAAACATCCTTCTTCAACACATGCATGAAAAATATTTTTTTCTTTTGACCAAAAAATGTGGAAATAAGCCGTAACACGAGAACGAGGCTGAGAGGCCAGGACCACGATCCTTGTTCCAGCGTCATGGCTTACAGTATTTCCATACTTATTAGTCCAAATGAACAATTATATTTCATGCACGGGCTGTAGAAGGATGTTTTGCATCTCTGCAAATAGCTTGTGAGAGTCAAACCTGAAATCCATCTCATTTAAGGTGGCTCTAAATTTAAAACGATAATGCTGTGACGTAATTACCGAAAAGTGACCATTCTTACCAGTGCGTGAGGGCGGTAGCTAAATGCTTAATTAGGCAGGTGCACATACCCGTATTTATAATTTTGAAAGCTATTGTTCCTATGGCCAGTGCAATGCAGTAGCAGATACAGCATTGAATGTCAAAATAGTTACAACAGCCTTGATCATCATAAATTCAAATTTTTATACTTTTATAACAGTGTTGTTTTATTGCGATTGATTATTATTTAAATAAGCTATTTTGATTGGAACAGTTATAGCAACAAAGGCGAAGTAGGGGTTCTCATGTTTAATGTGGGGTCTTAGCGCCCCAAGAAATTGGTAACTCGCCTCTGAACAGCAATATCATCAAGATATTGAAGGTCATGTTTCCGTAATTATAAGTGAATACGATTATTGCTTTAAATATCCAGGAATAAGGTGCTGGCTGTCCTCGGCGGTTCTCCATTGACCACGCACGTAAAACAAGGACAGTAAACCAATACAATTTTAAAGGTTACAAAACAGAATCAAAAGATTTTTAACATCTTGAAACCCAAAATACGTTAAAACAAGAAAGACTAGGATGATTTTATTGCATAATTATCAACCAGCAGCTAGACTAACTGGTCATATTTCGTGTTTCAAAATTATTATCCACACCGTAAAATCCTGATATACAGTATTTGTGTCTCAATTTTTTTCCAGATTTACAGTAATGAATAATTTCTGTTTAATGTCAGGGTGATATCGGGATAAATGAACATCATCAAGAAACAATAATAAATTACTTGAGGTTTGCCCGATACAATCGTGGACAATGCTTACGTTCCGTGGATGCATGTTTTGAAGAATATAAAGACGGTCGGTAAGTTTATTCTTGTTTTGATGAAAGGATCCTAGCTATAGCTAGTATAATCATAAATCGTCTTTTTGCCAGACTGCAAGTTTCCCACTAGCTAGGCTAAATTTTTCGATCTAACGAAATTTTTTGCCTGATTTTCTTTTCAATAGTGAGAATTTCGACCGTAGAGGAATCCGGCCTTTGACCGGTCACAATTAAAAAGAAAATTAAACAAATAAAAATTGATTCGACTCGCCTGGGTCAACAACTTTCCACTCGTTTAAAAGCTCTCTAGAACTCTTACTTTCCCTTTCGCGAGGGGGATTGTATTTCACTTCACGTTCCAGGGAATAGGAGAGAAGGGAAATATATTTTTTACGAGTATTTGATGGCAAAAAGCCTACCAGTACTATGACCAGCAGACCATTGTTCATAAGGGTAAAAATTTCTTGAGTGGTAGACGTCCTCTGGTTGAAATATTTACTAACATTCAAGCTTTCGACTGCTAGTCTGCATTTTCGACTTCGTTTGACAAGGCTGAGATTTTAATCGTTCCAAATCTGCCATCTACAGCTTGGTTGAAGATACATATACTTTGGAAGAAGTCCTAGAAATGCTTCACAGCTTGCAGTCTGTTGTTAAAGGGGAAGTGGAATCAGAGTTAATAAACACCGCGCACACGAATGTTCTGCTATTGAGGCAACTCTTTTCTCAGTCGGAAAAATGGTATCTTAATCTGCAAGCTGATATATCTGAATTAGAAAATAGGTAAGGTCACTCAATAATATTAACTTTGTAGTTATTGCAACAAAAGAGAATCCCCATAAGGACTTGCCATTATCTACATGTACAAGCGAATTACATGTACAGTAAGGTATCAGTTATGTTGAAAGCTTGTCTGCATGTATAATAAGCTTTACAATAATTTAAATAATTTGAAAAAAAATTGGTACGTACACTATGTAAACTGTTGTGGGTATAATTCGATACATACAGTATGTAAGAACAACTTTGCCTTCAATTTAAGTCTGCAATACTTAGGGAACTTATTGAAGAAATCGCGAAGTTCGAAGAAAGAGAATTCTCAGCAAAGAAGACTGTTTCGCAGGTACGTGTCCATGCAGGGTGTTTAAACTGCACAAAAATCCACAAACAATACAATGCGTACTGTCAGATCACAATTCAAAACTTAATTTGTAACTGTGTATATTGACAATACAATATCAATATAAGCGGCAAAAAATGCTGAATGCATGTGGACAATACAATCAATAACTATATAAGCAAAAAATGCTGAACATCTCTGTTTGGCATGAAATTTATATATACAGCGATTAATAAAGAAAAGTCGTCTTTTAACCCGAGAGCACAAACAAACTACATTCTATGTTATTTTTTACCTTATTTATATTCACTGGCATGTTCACTGTAAAATTTTACTAAATTTAAAACTTTCTAAACTAGACTAAACTTTCTAAAGTCTCTTCTTTAGTCTAGACTATAAAGCATGCGAGATTGCATAGAAAGATTGGTTGCATACATTGAAAAATAATGTGGAACGTTTTGCCCTGCGAAGTTGTCAATTTTTTTAAAGGCTTCTTATTAAGGCAACGTATCGTATATATTTTAATTACGTATATGGTTACATATTTTCTCTAGACGTCTGTTTCGTCCAAGTTAGCTCAAAAACCGAAGCTCGAACCTCTTAGTGATGGCAGCGGTTCAACACTGTTGCAAATGGTAAGCATCTCGTTATGGTGAAGGAATATATAATACATACTGTAGGTTATCTGTTTTTTTATTTATAGATGGAAGGTGTAAATCTTTCTGAGTGTTTTGCTTTATCGGTTCGGTCTAATGAGTATAAATTTAGTCAATATTGTTTTTCCAATCCAGTGTTTAGTTCTAACGCTTCTCCATCGCGCATTCCACATGACTAAACTTTTAAGCCTTTACTCTCGTGGGGTCGGTTGCCAAAAGGGAATAAAAGCTGCCACCGTAGATGGTGACTGTAAAAACTTGCTGGCGCTGGGCCTCATATGCATCATTAAATTTTTTTGGTACTTTCTTAGTTGCGAATTAAGTTTATTTCCTTTCAGTAAAACATTACTTTAAGACTTATAAACAGGCAGAATGTTCTCTTCAAGCCGAACCAACTTCCACAAAGACCGTTCGATTTTATTACTTTGTAGCCGTATATATATTCTGCAATGAGTGAATGATTTCATGCAGTGGAGTTGGTTTGAAAAGTTCGAACGCTGCCATGCACCAAATAATGACAGAAAAGCTAGGCATGCTTGTCTTCATATTTTCACTCCCCTACGCAAGAGCGTTCCGGGGTATAAAGGCCTTTTACATGGCACATTACCGTATGAAATTGTTATTGTCTTTAAGAATACAGAAAATGATATTTGAAAATCAAAATTATCCCTATGCATATAGTTTTATTGAGTAACTACGATAGTTGTCATCTTAGATTATTAGTTTTACACACATGCAGTATAATCATTTTTATGCCGTATATTCTCGTGAAATTGCGGGAAAATATAAGCGAGTATTTTTAATTAACGATTTCAAATAAATATTTTACAGTCTTTCAAATAATCATTCGTGTGCATGTTTATAATGTCGTCGAAGCGATATTTTATTTTTAACTCGTACAAGAACAAAAAAAGATGAAACAATTGCAGAATTTCTTCATAAAACAAAGCTATATAGCGATACTGTTCATCGCGTATCTGCTTCCATAGTGTCGCTTCTTTATATAACACAAGGTTTAAAGCATTTGGTTTGGCATCGGAATATAGAAACTGGATGCATGCATGTGTAGTAGAAGAGTCTCGTATATCATATATAGTCATAGTCTGTTGTTTGGTTTTTTATGACAGATTCTATACTGAAACTACATATAGCTATATCAAATTTGTGTTCATAATAACACATCATTCTAATTTTTATTTCTACTGACGTACTGCATGCATTCTATACTACTCTCGTTGCAATTGAAATGTTGATAAAATATTGCATCAAATTCAGTACCTAAGTTTGCAAAGATATTTGTTGGAAAATTGATCAATTTCCTGTATGTCCGAATCGCCAATGATTTTTGTCTCAGTGACTGAACAAGTATATATCGGAACAGGAAGTTGGGCAATTTCAAATATCTTTATCAAATCAAGGTAACGAATTGATGTAATATTTTTTCAACACTTTTTCATTGCAACGACGGTAATAGTTTCCAAAAAATTAGTGACTCGAGAGCTAGACTGACCATCTTCATATTTTAAATTGATGATATATGTGCTCCGTTGTGACGTTTACATATATGTCGGCTTTGTTCAAACCGTAAGGATAAACTCAGTAGGCATAAGCACATATTATGACTTCTGCCGCATAAATAAAAAGAATGCAGGTGGTTGCATGTTATTGTTTACATTCATTCCATATACTCTCCGTATCCTAAACTTGTAAAAGTTTACATAAGTTTGTGGCTTAAGGAAATAGTAGAATAGTTTTGAAAGTATTATTAATTGCCATAATTTCAATACGTTTTGAAGTTTGTTATGGTATTGTATAACTTATATAATTGAAACGCTTTTTTACTAATAATCCAAATTTTCATCTTTCATAAATTGTATTCTTTCTGTTTTTTTAAGTATAGCTATATATATATCGCTAGTAGGGCCTAGTGATTAGTTTTCAAAAATTGCATGTGCTGTTTTGCGAGTAGATGAATGATAAAATAAAGCGCCACATTTTTGTGGATTTGTGATTCATTATATAAGTTTTTATTGTTCATTCTAAACTCGATGAAACGTAATTAAATTAAGGACACATGAAGTACTTGAAATTGTACACAATTTGTGTTTAAGGAGGAATTACGGTGTGAATAATCATTAAAGGAGCCTTTTGCAATCCTGACAAGAATTAAGGCATTTCAGCCTAATTTTAGAACAGTGCAAGTTATTTTTACACAAAAACATTGAAAATAAAATCTCTATAAATATAATAAAAATAACCGAGGTGCATCGTGGCAGTGTTTTCAAATGCATGTAATCTGTCAAATGTAGTATATCAGCTGCCTATAATTCGCCCTAGGCCTTTTTCAGATGAGTCAAAAGTTTAGCTGCCTTGAACCTGTATGATCGAAAGGAGAAGCATTTTGCCCATTTTTTCTAGGTAGTTTCGATAATCAAAATATAGATTTTTATGGGTAATGAGAGATCAGAATAGATAACCTTGTTGCATGAGTTTGTGATATGATCTGGCTATGAACAATTAAGATAGGAATCTACTGAAGTGAATGCGCATAATTTATATGATCTATGCATGTATGTATATGACGTGCAGTATCAACACAACTCAATATCGCCCTCTTGAAAAATATTTCCAACGCAAGGATGAGAATATAGTATGCGTTCTCAAAATGGAATCTGCCATGAAATTCGAACCGTCATTTGAAATGGGAATTCTGCGAAGTCTCGTACAGCATATGTATACGGTATTTTCCCAGCATTTATTTCATTATTGCTTGTTCATTGCTAAATCCTTTTAAATCATACATTTAGATTGCTCCCTGCACAAAAAGAAACGTATGATTCTAATATGAAATATGTAGCTTGCCGTACACTGATATATAAAGAGGCTAGATTTATAGATGTATATGATTAGAGAAAGTTATGTTTTATACTTTTTAACTATAGGCGCAGGCTATAAAGCATTAAATAATTCCCAAATATGAGTTTCTTAATTGGGATAATTTGAAATGACATAATTAATGCCATAAGCTTCACAGCGCCCTTAATAAAATCCCCCAAACTAAACGCCCGGTTAACACTGTCAAGTTTCCTTTGATCCAGTTGGAATTTGCGAAAAACAAATCCCTCATTTTCAAAGTATTTGGTATAGAAATTCAAGGGAACTGAGACCGTAGTTAACACCGGGTTGTTTCATCGTGATACTCTTAACTAAAACTTAGATTTATCAGTGCAAATTTTCTCCTGTGAACCAAGAACTTTAACGGTGTAAACCAGGCCTGATATAACGGAGTATTGGGTACTATATTTCACAAGGAATAGAAAATATATTTGACACACGCGATATTGAGCATGAAGTGACCTACACCATCTCGTGCGTTCTAAATAACGGACAAATTAGAACAATCTTCTCTTTGCTAAATAAGGCGTTTTTGCTGTGATGAATGAGATTTAGGTTGTTGATGCGTAATTTGAGATCACGAACATCATCAGATCAGAGCCAGAGAATTTGGGAGGCCGAAGCAAAATAAATTTTAAATCATCGTTGCCTTTCCTTCCCCACGTTTACTTTCGACCCTCGGTTCAACCTTATGCCCAATGAAAATTGCCCCCTCTCTCTCCGATAGATCCGCATGAGATTTCACTTCAGGATGTTTGTTCCTCGAAACAAAAAAACTAAACATTGTAATTAATTTTTAGTTATATTTTTGGGTACGTAATTGCCGTCCGTTTTTGCTTAGTTGTCGTCATATTTTATTTTCAAATTCCAGATTCCTCTTATTCATACATTGTTGTTTATTTAGGAAATCAATAGACTCCAAGAAGAAAATGCTAGGTTGAAAGAAAAAATTAAAATGAGTGAATCGATGGTAATTATAACCTACAGGGGGCGGTTATATAAAACTCTTTAACCACACTTTGCGTAGTTAAATCCTATAGTTAACTCAGAAATACCCAACTCTGATTGGCCAATTCTGTCCTTAACTACTTTTATACAAATGGCCCCTGATTACTGTACAAAGTACCTATATCGCTGGCAGATCCGCATATCGCTGAATACAGTGGGAGGGCATCTTTAAACAGAAGTGGTATATGTTTATAATATTCATGTTCACACCGCTTTCATATACGAAATCAGTATGACAAATATTCGAACATCCACCACATCACCTCACTTCATCCATTCATAAAAGCGGCCAGATTTTATGAATAATTATATTCAATTTGAGACCTTATCCTTTAGTGAAACACGCGCAGTCATCACACCAAATGATATAATCATATCTTTTCGAATGTGTAGGCGGCCTGTGTACTGGACGAGAGAAGTAAGTTGAAAGCCGATCTGGAAAAGACCCAGTCACAACTGTCAACAATGTCGCAATCTGGGGATGGAGAGGAAATCAAGGAACTGGAGAGGAGAATGCAAACAGTAACAATGGAAATGGAAAATGTTAGAAAAGTAAGTATCACGTGGCACCGTTTTAACGGATAGAGCGAGTAGCATTTTTTTAAAAGCACACTGCTGTAAAAATGCCTCAAAAGCATTTACAGGAACAACGATTTCTAAAACGAAACTCTAATTTGAGAATATGGTATTGTCAATTTGAGTTATATCGAAGAACATCACTGTAAAATCCATGTAAATTAAATCCATGAAAAAATGTGCAGAGTATAGTTTAGTATTTATCATACTGGCATTAATTTGGGTAAGATAAATTTGCATAATTGAGAGCTCTGAGAACAAAATCCTGGAAACGTCGTTATAGATTCTTTTGTCACGTAGCACTCACCAGTTGGCTCATCATATATGAATAAAAACAACTGTATACACTTTACGAAACAACAAACAAAACATGATGAAATATTAACCCGGTAATTATAGTGAATATGGTTTATACTTTCTGTTATATTATTTTAAGGCTAGTTCCACTGGCGGTGGTAAAGTTGCCGAAATAGGGGAGCAACTCTCAAATGCCAAGGTATAATAGCTAGATGCCATTTTGGTGGACACCAGCATAGATTATTCTAAATCCTTCTGCTTTCGTTTTTTAATCTCAAAACGTGCGTTTATCATGACCATTGAGATCACGTGAATATAAACATTCTTGACACATATAGCTGCTCAGAATTTACGTATGTGTTTTAAAACGTCCTAGAAAAAGAGAATCACGTCAGGTTGTTTATTTATAATCTATAAAGTATGAATATGTTATGTTTCTTTGTAGCATGAAATCCTGCGGTTACAACACGATTTGCAAGAGAAGGAAAAAGTAAGTGGTCTGGAAAACTTACTTTTATTCTTGTTACATAATTTCGTGAAACTTAGTATTATACCATTATATCCTTTCTATTCATGCTATTATCATCATCCCCGATGCCACCCACGATATTTAATCGGCCTTGTACGGTATAGTTCATATGACATGTCGTATTTACTGGGTTGCCTGTCTTTATAATGGCAAAATTGTATGTATAACCGTAATGTGGCTAAGTCAAAGTATTCATCTTATAGGAATTGACGAAAAAATTTAATGAAACGACACAATATACAAACATGAAGCAAATGCTACAGACCAAGAATGAACAGATGAAGAAACTTAGGCAAAGACTAAAGAAGTAAGCGATTGTAACCTGATCAGGTTGACAAAATTCATCATTATTATTTCATTTCGTTATTTTAGAGTGTCTTCATTAGCGTTTTATAGTATAACAGTTAGGTGTGTCACAGTTACAAAGTGCTTTTGCACGGGAAAACTATCGCACTTTGAAATCCCTCCGTGAGTGTTTTCCAATTGTAAGAATCTTTGCATTTGTTTTCTCTATATGTCTTCATTCTGGGTTCGTTTATGTTTGACACTCCAGCTGTTTGTCAGTCCAGCTGATCAAGATCATGAGGTCACGAGGTGCCTCGACAAGACTGAATTATTCGTCCCCGTTCTTCCAAGTAATAGTTTAAATGGGGTGGAGTAATAGTTTAAACTAAATTACAATTGATTTGTTGATTGTTTTCGTATCTATTTTGTTCGCCTAGAGCTAGGGAAACCACGTTTAACCATTACGCGTGGTAACTTGAAATATTCTTTAATTTGTTTAATTCTTTTATTTTATTATATAATGTGCAGTGTTTTATTGGCGAATCAGCCATGAAAAGCGATTCATGTATTATTCTGTATTTATTTTCAGATACGAGCCCAATTTTGAATCGTGATATCAACTGGTCGTAGCTTGCTGAATTTCTTTCTGATTCCATGATGTTGATAATGCATATTGAAATGGTCCATCTTTATTGACTTTGAACCTTTTTACTATTACAATGCTGTAAATTTTTAAAGCTGTCAAGTTAGTCACTTTGACACTTTCGTGCATTATCATATGTCGGCTAAGGTTTAGGGCAGCGTTAATAAATTATGTTGCATTTTTAAGTCACGATGCTTTATAGCTGAACTTTAATTATTTCAGTATTTAATGAACATTATGAAGCTTATTATTCCGGTTATCAGTCTAGATACAGGCACATGTGAAAACAGGGGTGTTATTTTATGGAATGCAATGGAATATAATATTGTTTAATTATTATAGTGCTATGACCTTTGCTACTCCGATTGTGTTAGGCTGTTCTGAACGTCGTATTTTGCGTGTCGAGCAAAAGAGTTATAATGAGGTCTTGCATCATAGCTGTGGCCGCAGTAGCCTTGCCATGCAGCATGATGATTTATCCCGCTATAGCTATACTAATATTTTGGTCTTCATTTGAGTGTGAAGACAATAAATTTCTAAATATATTATAAATATAACTCGAAATTTGCATAGCTGGACAAAATCGTCAGGATTGCTCCAAAATAAATTTAGAAAAAATCACACCTTCTTCCGCTGAAAAACAATAAATCATTTTAAATCATATTGTAAGTGCTTCCCAGATTATAATATATAAATATAGCAGTTGATAATAAAAATACCAAGATAGATAATTAAAGGAAGCTAACACGGCCTATAAAACGAGAGTATAAATAACGAATGTAAAATATGAATAAGAGAGTTGGATCTAGACCTGTTGTGTGTGTGAAGTAAGCTCGGCTCGTTACAACTGGTGGCAGCGGAAAAGTGCATGATGTCGACTGCAATTCTTCCGAGAAAATTTGATTATGGTGATTTCGACGCTTGGTTACGAGAGTTTGATGCCTGCTGCTCCGCGAACGGTTGCGAAACTTCCCGCTTTCTTACGTGGTCGAGCCGCAAGTAACTTCCATGCTGTTCCTGCGGCTGAGAGACGGACTTACGACGATGCCGGGTAATGGATGCGACGAGCCCTTTCCGAAGCTAAACGCGAAAATTTCTTCGCTGATTTCGAACTGCGACCCGAGAAGGATCCGGCCATATACAAATGGGAATTAGAGAATATCTTTCAAAAGCTGACCCATCTCTTTCCGATGATGCTAAGTCCGCGTTGTTGACGAGGCAGTTCTCGAAACGTCTACCACCAACCCTGAAGTTAAAAATGCTGGAGCACATGCCTACACCTACTCTGGCCCAAATAGTCGAATTCACACAACGATTTTGTGGGCTTGGCCAACCGACCGTACCAGAGACTCCTCGTGTTCACATTGACGCTATCGCTCACCCACCGCATCCACCTGATCCACAGTTGAAAGAGATTGGTTGCTGGCATCGCCGAGAAACAAAAAGCACTCGAGAACCGCCTGAGCCGTACAGAGACCTCTGCGAATCCCTCCCCTCGGCCGTCGTCCACTGGTACCTGCTATCCATGTGGTTTACCGTTAACCAGGGCATTTCGCTCGAGATTGTACGCGAAAGCGACCCTTCAGTGCGCGTCGAACGATGACTTGCTACAATTGTGGGAAACCTGGTCACATCGCACGAGAATGCCGCTCATCGCATCATTTAAACCAACTACAATGGGATGGACGGAAAGTCGGTGGAGGTCGCGCCCATCCTGTCGTAAGTACAAATATTATTGATAATTGTACAGTTATCCACCCATTTGTTGACTGTTTTGTTGACCAAGTCCGTGTTAGTGCTCTCATTGACTCAGGATCAATAAAATCAATTACATTACGGGACACCCGACCAGTCGAAGGAACAAACACGTTTTAGTTGTGGTCGATCATTTCACCCGATCAAAAAGTCAGCACAGTTGCGCCACTCCTAGTCAGTCACATTTTCTCCATGTTTGGCCCCCCAGCAGTCTTGCATTCAGACCAAGGCAGAAATTTTGAGAGAACGCTGCTGCATAAAGTGTGTAATTTATGGGTATTACGAAAACGCGCACTACTAGCTACCATCCTCAGTGTGACGGACAGTCAAAGCGCCAAAACCGCACAATTCAGCCTATGCTTTCCTCCTTTGTTTGTAATAGGCGAGATGATTGGGACTTGAAGCTGGATTCAGTCACGTTCGCTTACAATGAGGTAGTTTTTGGCCAATTACCTAGGCTGCCAGTTGAATTGGAATTAGGCATGCCGCTAACAACACCATACATGCCCCCAGAGCGAATATTTACAGTCAGTTAGGTCAGCATTTCATGATATTAGACGCATAGCAGAGTAACATTTATCAAAAGCATCGGAGAACCAGGCAAAGCTCAATCAACCGACAACTACTTGATGGCCTTTCAAAACAGTCATGTTGAAAAGACCGAGAGGCTGGAAGTTCCGACATAGATAGGTGATGCCTTATAGAATCCTAAAACAGGCTGGGGTAGACTATCATATTGTTTCAAAGGGATTAGGAAGTAGGCAAGTTCAAGGTGGCTATGTTACACCGCAACAAGGCGGAATTGACGGATTTCCTCGCGCTCGACCTGCCAGACTCAGACAAAACATTAACCCGCCATTAACTCATTGAGACACGGGTTTGATTGAAAGCATGTCCTCGGGACGAGAACATAAGCAGAGGATGGTGTGACGGATATCGGATAATGGAGTAACTGAAATATATATAGACTAAGTATATAAACACCAAATAGAATAAGGAAAAGTAAGTTGCCGCGGATGCACCATTGCAAGTGCTTCCGAGTTCCGAGATTAATATATAAATATAGCAGTTGATAATAAAAATAGCATTGTAGGTAATAAAGAAGCGTACACGCCCTATAGAACGAGAGTATAAATAACAAATGTAAAATAAAAATAAGAGAGTTGGATCTAGACCTGTTGTGTGTGTGAAGTAAGCTCGGCTCTTTACAAATCGAGAAACGTCAAAATGACACTACATGGAAAAATATTTCATCATTTAATAACAAAATTTAAAAAAATGCAAATTTCTACGTAAAAATTTCTGCTATTCTTTGTACTCTGCTACATTTTAGTTGATACAAGGGAGAATTATTCGAAACAAGTGTAAAAATATCGCATTCGCTGCAAAGGAAAATTTCTGATCGTAGATCCTTTAGATCAAGCAGAATCCAAGATGGCGGACTCACCGGGTACATCTGGAAGCAATCCAGGCAAAAGGCATCCAGTTGACAAGTTCAGCGTTTATTCTTTCTATGTTGACAAGACTAGCGCATTTTCCGCGGAATGGCAATCGAAAGAGTCAAAAGGGCTCCTAAGACAAAACATCGAAACCATTTCCTGCTAAGGTTCTCATTTCATTAAACAGGTCTCTTCAGTGGACATTCCAAGTGTCATTTTTATACAGAAAGATTTTACATAAAGAAGTAGAACGAATGTTTTAAACGAGTTTCTACCGAGAACTGAACTCGGATTTTCGGATTCAGAGTTGGAAGTGATACCATAGTCGATATCATAGTTTAGTATACACCCGACTATAGTCTATTACAAATCCTACATTCTGATTGGCTACTCAACCATTGTCTATTCGTGATGGAGCACGCTTGGGAAAAATTTCGCTCGCGCGACCGTATAAAATTGAATTATTTTTCGGTGTAATTGCGGTGTATCGATTATTTTCTCGAAATTAATATACCTAGGTACAGGGTGCATACTAAAACAATTAGACAACTCTCCTTCGTTGTCTATGAGCGACAGGGGCGCCGTGGGTGTGCTAATTTAGGGGTGGCCAAAGGCAACATTATTCCGACAAGCACGTTTTTTTTCCCGACATCTTTATAATAAAAAAGTAACGAATATTGACAAAACTGACAGGGGGTTTTGGGCAAGGACGCGCATGCATTTACTATGACAAAGATCACGAGCTACGTCTACTAATTTAAATTGACGCTTCATGCACAATGAATATGACCGATAAATATTCACGTTTTACATACGCTTTTCAATTGAGTAGTTGAATAATTTTTGATACAGTTAACTGTTTGTGGGAAAACTGTATTACAGAGATTTCTAATCCACATGCATTAACAAATAACGCGATACGTTATTTCACGATACTCTATTATAACTTTGTAATCTTAGTGGATGAGCATACAGCGTATTCTATACGCAACATTTGTTTATAACCAAAATATAAACATATTCGCAAATGCTTCCATCCTCTCATCAGTTTACTTCTTCCGTTGTACTATCGTGGTACCTTATCTTTTATAAACTTCAGGAACCGTTTGACTAAAAGTATACTATAAACTTGAAAAGGATTTGCTGTAGCTCCAGCATTCTGATACGGGACATGCTGGTGTTTCTTTAGACGGTCACCATATCAATGCAATAAACTGTATAAACTCACTGAACAATAAATGCGGTCAAAGACACATGGCCATTCATAGCGATTTTATCGCGCCAATCTCCGACATTTCGAAAATTACATTCCTTGCGTAATGTTATATTAATAGAAACTATGCATGTTTATCGGAAACTGGAAACGTTCGGAAGAAACAGCTAGTTTAGCCTGCGCGACAACAGTATAATAAAAATTTGGGGTAGTGTCGTACCGTATAATATTAGAAATAACCGCGTCTATTTAACAATTAGACAACGAGTCCGAGTTGTCTATGAGCGAATAGTCAACGAAGGCGAAGCCTGAGTTGACTATTCGCTCATAGACAACGAAGGCGAGTTGTCTAATTGTTTTAGTATACACCCTGTACCTAGATATATTAATTTCGAGAAAATGATCAATACACCGCAATTACACCGAAAAATAATTCAATTTTATACGGTCGCGCTAGCGAAATTTTCCCAACCGTGCACCATCACGAATAGACAATGGTTGAGTAGCCAATCAGAATGTGGGATTTGTAATAGACAATAGTCGGGTGTATACTAATTTCTGATAGTTCAAATACTTTTGGGTTGTTCAGCATAACATAGCCACAAATGCAAAAATAGCTTAGTCTCTGTTATGATTGATAAACTCCGACAACATGCAATGTTCGTAAATTTCCGACAGGTTTGAATCCTGGGGGGGCCATGGCCCCCCCTGGCCCCCCCGGCCACGGCGCCCCTGATGAGCGAATAGTCAACTCAGGCTTCGCCTTCGTTGACTATTCGCTCATAGACAACTCAGACTCGTTGTCTAATTGTTAAATAGTCGATACACGCACATTATTAAGATAAAGCAATTATATTCCCCGTATTCCAGGTATTGACCCCAGGTTGACAAATATATATAGAACATGCATGTATCCAAGAGAGTCATCTAAGAAACCTAAACTGCTAAGATTATTTTCCAAGCCGGCGGATTGTTGCCACATAGATAAATTAGGATTTTTCATGCACTAATTAGTACAATAAAAATATTGAATCCTTCTTTAATTTATTAAAAAGAAAAGCGCGAGCGGAGTTGAACCACTGACCTCGCGATCTGCAGTCGAATGCTCTACCACTGAGCTACACTCCCTGATCGTTGCATGCGCTATGACTGTTAGATTCTATTCTCTTAGATACCTTTAACAACTTTTCCTGCTGTCCTTAACTTATTCGGAATAGCACAAGTGAAAAGAAAATAAAGATGAGCTTATATATTCATGGCATATCAGTATTGGCCAGCAAGCAGGGTGGCGCAGTGGAAGCGTGCTGGGCCCATAACCCAGAGGTCAATGGATCGAAACCATTTCCTGCTAAAGTACCCATTTCAATAAAAATGGACCCTTCAGTGGACATTCCAGGCGTCATTTTTTTAAAAAAAACTTTTTTTCTGAAATGGGCTATAAGAGAAAAGCCTGAATTCAAAAAATTACATATAGACGTAGAACGAATGTTTTAAACGAGTTTCGACTACAATAGTCGATATCATAGTATTGTCGATACACGCACATTATTGAGATAAGGCAAATAAAATTCTCCGTATTCCAGGTTTGGACCCCAGGTTTACAAATATATAGAACATGCATGTATCCAAGAGAGTTATTCAAGAAACCTAAACTGCTTATATTATTTTACCAAACCAACGGATTGTTGCCACATAAATAAATTGGGATTTTTCATGCACTAATTAGTACAATAAAAAAATATTGAATCCTTCTTTAATTTATCAAAAAGAAGAGAGCGAGCGGAGTTGAACCACTGACCTCACGATCTGCAGCTGCATGCTCTACCATTGAGCTACACTCCCTGCATGCGCTTTGCATGTTAGATTCTATTCTGTTAGATACCTCTAACACAGAACTTTTCCCGCTTTTCTTAACTTATTCGGAATAGCACAAGTGAAAAGAAAATAAAGATCAGCTTATATATTCATGGCATATCACTATTGGGCAAGCAAGCAGGGTGGCGCCGTGGAAGCGTGCTGGGCCCATAACCCAGAGGTCAATGGATCGAAACCATTTCCTGCTAAGGTTCTCATTTCATTAAAATGGTCTCTTCAGTTTTCCTCAAAAGCGTAACTAGGTTTCTAATAGGTCTTTAGTCTAACATTATTATAAAATCATATGTAATATTTAATTATAAAACTGTACATGGGGGAATAATCAGTGGACATACCAAGTGTCATTTTTATACCGAAAGATTTTAAATTTTTTCTGAAATGGGCTATAAGAGAAAAGCCTGAGTTCAAAAAATTACATAAAGACGTATTTTTAGATTTCTTATATTCGACGTTTATATATAATGCAAGACCGTATAATTACTCAGTGGTGTAAAGTAATTACCATCCTCGTCCCCAGGGCCTAGCTCCGTTGCTCACTCGATATTCTAAAAAATCTCCTCTTAAAGCGACTGGGTACGAGGCTGTAAAAGAAATGCAAATTCCTACGTAAAAATTTCTGCTATTCTCTGTACTCTGCTACATTTTAGTTGATACAAGGGAAAATGATTCGAAAGAAGTGTAAAATTATCGCATTCGCTGCAAAGGCGCTACAAACAAAGACTAATTTCTCATCGTAGATCCTCGCGAAGATCAAGCAGAATCCAAGATGGCGGACTCACCGGGTACATCTGGAAGCAATCCAGTCAAAAAGGCATCTAGTTCAGCTTTTATTCCTTCTGAGTTGACAAGACCAGCGCATTTGGCACGGATTGGCAATCGAAAGAGTCAAATGAAAGGGCTCCCGAGACAAAAGAAACTAGAAAAACTTGCAAGTTACTCTCAGTGTAAGGTACAGAATATAATGAAGTAACATTTTTGAGTAAATCAGAGTCAAAACAAGTGTGCAAGTGCGTATGTTTTTCCTGGATAGAAAGAACACATGTGCAACAGATAATTATGCATTAATAAATTAATTAATTGCCACATAATTAATTAATTTATTGACACATGATATTAGTCCAGAGCCATATCTAGGATCTTACAAGTCAATTCTAAACCAAAATTTTGGTCAAGAAAAAAAAATGACTAGAAATACAATGCATCCAGCAATCCTTTGCCATTTCAAACTGCAAGCAAATAATTTCCAGTGCTAGCTAGACCGAAGCTTATATATACATATATTACGCAAAAGTGAAGTGCACTAAAAAAATTGCAGCATCTGCGATGATATGCTCCAAAAATAGTAATGAAAGTGAAGAAAACTTTACCTAACTCTAAAAGTCTTGTAGTGACATTTATTCTATAAAAAGTCAAATTGCACTTTCAAAAACCTTTTTTCAGTTAAAGCAGTGGTGTAATAGCCTTTCATAGTCAGTCTTTGGAAAGTGACATAAGCTCATAATTGTACAAGTACATTCTTTATTGCAAAAGTTTTCCCCATTGGAACTGTGGTCAACCGGACCATTGAAGTTCAACATCTGTGACATAGAATTTGGTAAACTTTTGATGTTTATTGTAATATCCGGGTGTAATTTCTAATCCTGAAAGGAATCAGTTCCATTACCCGTTCTTTGCACCAGCTTGGGGAATATACTACTTCCCATTACAATAGAAACTCCTAAAAACTCCCAGTACAATACAAGCGTTGCCCATATAAGGGCACCAACTGAAAGAAAAAATGGGCAAAACAAGTTAGGTTAAAGAAAGCATATATATTTTCACACCATTCTGTTATAAAACATTCAAAGGGTGACAAACTTTGCAAATGCACTGGATGGAGAAACTCCGCCTCCGCTCCTGGTGGTAACCAAACGACTGCTGAAAATGATAACTCCCAATGTCGAAGCTGTAATCACTCTCTTGCAAGTCATCTATCCACTTTGGATGGCAAACCTGACGAGGAACTTGACAATGTCTTGTCAATTGTGGTTGATGTAGAAACACTGTATGTTTGTGTACATAATGAGAAAGATGAAGACACAAAGAAACTATACACTGGTTTATTCAAATTACTTCGAAAGTGTGTATTTCAAGCCGTTTATATGAAGCCATCCGTTGCCCTAATGGGAAATCCGCCGTTTGAGAGCCCAAGTATTGAAAATGTAAGTGGATTAAGAAAAGATAATTTGCTATGTATGTCCTCTAGAGAGGTGTAAGGGTTTGGCAGAAAACTGTTGAATAAAACCTTGCATCAAAGATGATGAACTATTTTAGCGATGCATGATATGGTAATAAGTTAAAAAGCGTATCATCGCCAATCTTGCAGCTGACTTTTTTTATCTCCCTGAGGTTTTATTATCAACAAAATTTTTCCAGGCAATCTTCAAGTTCCTTCATATGAAGTATGAGAACAGCGAAGACAAACAGATGATGCATGATTTAGCCAAAATGTTTATCCACTGCCTCAATAATTGGACGTTAGATACTCCGTCATCAAGGAAGGAACAAGGATACAGCGGTGAAGAAAACAATTTTTACAAAACCAATTATTCGAGGTAAAAGCATGTAATAATCATGTACTCAGGCATTGCTTTAGTAATGAGATTATATCACCACATAGCACCGCTATATGACACCGCTAAGATTGGTGTCAGTTTCAACTCGAAAATTAACCCAGTATAGTTGTAACTTGTAACTATAGTCATTGACAGGACTTGCCAACCAATCGCAATGAGTATAGTTTATTTTGAAATTAATTACGATTTAGGGGTGGTTGTATGAAGGCCGGATAGTGCTATCCAGCCCGGAATAGCAATTTTCCACTCGCTCTCAAATTGTTAGATGCAAAGCTGAAATTTTATTGCTTTTTCAGCATTTGTACAACGGTTAAAAAATCACTATCCACTGGATAGAGCTATCCAGCCCTCGTGCAACCAACCCCAGAGTTTTTTCAACTGGCTCCTGGATTTAGCCGAAAACTTATTCTACTATATACAGCATATATGTTCCCTGAAATCGTTAATCGAAATGTTTGAGACATCCACCGACATTGTTGCTGCCTGACTGACACGCACGCCCGCATACATACATATAAATACCAAACGCATACTCCCGGAAAAGGATGTCTCGATTCGGCAGTATCTAACTATTTTATCGCGTATTTTTCACAGGTGGTTATGTTTTTGCCGAGTACCTGTTTTTTGTAACACTTTAACAAAGTACAATCTTTCGCAAGTTTTCGGAAGGAGCTTCTTCCAAGTGGTGTTACCCTCGGTTGGCAGACAAATACTGGATAAGTTCTCAGCTGATAGAGAGAAACTTACTGCAGAGAAACGTGCCATTCTTATCACGCACTTTCCAAGGTAAATGTGAGATGAAGCAGCTGTATTTATTATCATTTAGTTATGTAGACAAGCAACGGTAGCCATTCGGCAAAATATCTTAGTCTCGCTGACTTCTAAGGGGCCGTTGACTATCAAAGATACAAAACGAAAAGAAAATATCTTACATACGGTATAAACATATACCTCAAATTGTACATAATTCTTTCCTCCCACCCTTTCTCCTACATCTTGCAATAAATTATATATCTATTGCACATCTGTACCCGTAATTAACCTTTCTAAGAGGGATTTATTTATTCTTTATTCCTGGTAAAGTTGCATGTTAATTTCATTAACGCGTAGAAATAATTAATTATCCTCTAGAAATTGTTCCTCATTGAGTTAGATGACAAGAAATCGTAATTTATTTACCCTTAACTACAAAATATACATATATATGATTGAACCAGATGTTTAGAAAGCCCCTTTTAACAGGTTTCAGCTCTTATTTTTTGTCGAGTGCATTTAATTTTTTTTCAGATTTCTTAAAGATCTAGAAGAAGATGTTATGCAAAATGATAGCGTTATCTGGATGCAGGAAATTGAAATCAAAAAGGAAATGGAAGTTGCGCCATCATCTCCTCAAAGTACGAACGATACAAGGTAGGTTCTGCACAAATCTCGTCGTAGTAGGTAAAGTATAGGCCATTATCCAAAGTCTTTATGCATGACTGGATGTGAAATATGCAGGCTACCTGAAAAATTTCAAGGTTAACTAAAACCTCTCGAGTAAAAGCCTTTATTTGTGTGTCGGTAGTTAGCAAATAGCACTGAATGTGGATGAATATCTATAAATCATTTATTCATATTCGTACAACCGTAGAAACACAACAAAAGAAATCAGTCGGGCATAAGACTAATATATGAATGACGACGGCCCTGTGCACCATGCAGGGGCCAACCGTTCGAAAGGCGTTTAGTTTAAACGGTGGATAAGGTCAAAATGGAACACAAAATGATCTATTTATTGAACAGCTGAGCTAAACTATTTCGATGTAAATAGTTTAATTTTCAATGGAAGTACATATTTAAGCATAAGATGCAGATGCAATCATTCACAAGATGTATGAGAGTATTTTTAAACTTTTGCTTATCCATGCACCGTTTAAGCTAAACGCCTTTTGAACAACCGGCACCAGGAGTGAATACAGTAGGATCAGACTATACTGATCCTCTATTTAATCCCATTTTGGTAACCGTTTATGGTCTTTGGGGTAGTGTCATGTTTTAAATTTTAACATTTGTAGTGTGGACAGTGGTTTGTTGAGCCCTCGGACTTTGTCATCCTTTCATCTGGCCGCCCCATCGTCTGCGGGTCACGGTAAAGCCTATTTCATATAATAATCTTTAAAGAGAGTAAAAATTACTTTCTATCTTCAGACCTTTTACTCTTTGTGATGTTCAAATATGATGTTCTTTGCAAACTTGTACCATTCAATTTTATATTAAGTTAATTGGCTTTTTGAAAACAGAAATAAAATACATCGGTGTTCATTGGTTGCAATTTTATTTAACAGATTTGCACAACAACAAAAGACCGCTAGATTCTGGAACTCCAAAATCAGAAAACAAAAGACAGAAGTTAGCAGGTAATCATAACTATCGTTAATGCTTTAAAGGAAAGGAACTTTGTGAGTAACTTTGGTCGCAAACAGTTTCCACTAAATGATTTTCAAAATATCAAAATCTCTCGCCCCCAGACCCTTATCTTTGGTACATTTGACAATGTGGTAATTATTTTTATAAAATAACATGTATATAACGCGTGTTCTGATTGGTTGAAGCGGGAAATTTCGCGGGAATTTAAAAACAAATTTATTATTGTTTGTTATTTTATAAAACAATTACTTAATGGTTTTCGTGGATGGCCGGGTCCAAACATGCGGGAATGTTGCGAGAGTTAAGAAAAGCGCGCGAAACACGAGCCGAAGGCGAGTTCTTAACTTGAGGAAACCATTAAGTAATTGTTAAATACCCGTATTGTTTCAAAGGTGATGTTCCTGAGGAAGTTTTCGCTAAAATCGTCGCTGTTGTTACTGAAGAGCATGAGATGTTAGGACCAGAGGTGAGAATTATAGACAGACTGTAAAAACAAAAAGGCAAGCAGTAAACAAGTAGTCCAGCAGCAGTGAAGAATGATAGTTCCAACCAACTCCTTAATAGGAGGTGGTGCAATTTGTAGACATGAGGCATTCGAAAATTTGATTGCTGGATTTATAGGAATTGCAACTCGATGAATCTCCCCAAGCGATCTTCCGTATCTTGCATGCAACAAAAAGTTTGAATAAATATATACAGTTGATATTACCTCGCTGACCTTTAGCGTTTATTTTAAGGACTTTATTGGTCCTATAGGCTTGGTTTTTTTTTGTTATTATTTTCCTCTCGGGTCGACCCCCAGCGTCGCTAGCTGCAGGCCATATCACCCTAATCGGGAACCTGCGCACAGGTAAGTTGCTGGTTATTATTATCAAGAAAGCGATCAAAATACCAGCAAACGCTTTCCTCATCTTTACGTTCATTACACATATATACAACTGCACACGCCGAGCACAGTAAGCCTACACCGGCTACCCTAAGTAAAAGATGTAGAGCGGTTTTAAAATGGGCTGTTCTTTGTTTCTCCTGCTTTCAACATGCGACCTATAGTTCGGTATATTGTTCATTTTTATTATTAAGAACATTTACGACACAAAATGTGCATAGCTGGGCTAGCTACGCCGCTGTGAACGACGCGACCATAACGCCTAGTAGGCGTCTTGTTTATTAATAGCGTTGCTTCGATTACACAAGTAAAAAGCTTACCCTGTAATTTGTCATTACTACAGTGGTCGGTTTAAAAAAGTTAGTTGAGATTTATTATAGAAAGATTAATTACGCAAAATGCAGTTATATAAGTTTTTACCTATGGTCCAGGTTATGCATGAAACAGCAAATGAAAGTAGGGTTTACACTGTCAGATTTGTGTGATCACGGTTGGAATGTTGCCAAGAATTTAGTGAAAATATTTGACAAACTTTAAACAGTTTTCATCTGTAACTGAATTGTTACCTTGACACGTGTTAGCTACCAACTCTCTTGGATGTACCAATTCCTACTGTATATATTAACGGAAACTTTCACGGTATAAATCAAGTCTTGATGTACTACTATTGGTCTAGAAAATGTCAATTTCAAATTAAACTCGTCAATTTCGTTTAAACATTGTACTTACAGCGTGGTTTGTACCCTGGGCAACATAGCGCACGAGACGAGGCAGCTCGTTGTGAAGAGAAGCGAGGCGTCATAGAATTTCACGTCGTCGGAAACTCGCTGAGACGACAGCTCTCTCGAGAGAATATCATGTGGTTGATTGGCTTGAAAAACGTATTTTCATATCAACTACCGCGAATGCCGAAAGAATATATCACGAGATTGGTTTTTGATCAGTAAGTGACCAGTAAATTTTAGCTGCAAACTAAAGCCTCGTTACACTACACCTATAGACTCGATTTATTGGCACGGCATGGTCAAGATGGATGCCCGTGCTTTAAATTGCATGCTGTGCATCAAATTGGATGCAGGTACCAATTTTAGCAGTTCCGTTCTTATAATTTGACTGTATACAGGAAAAACAGTGCCTTAAAAAGATAAGCCAAAAACTCAGGTGGAGGATATATAAAGAGCCTTTCGCCTTTCGTTAGTTTCTTAAAACAAAACGCTATAAATTTTATTGAAAACCCTCCCGTTGATTGTGAAAATTTGCTGATGAATATGCGAAAATTCTTACATGCATTGCTAAGAATTAAAAAAAAACAAAGTTTTATAATCGTGATTTTGTTTTTCCTGCAATTTCATTACTCTTTAGTGAATTTTATGCGAGTATAACGCCTTAAGGGGTGATTTAGCTATATAGCGTAAGTTTTCTGCAGTCAGTTACCGTATCATCTTCGATTTTTTATGCTAAAGGAAACACAAGACATTGGCTTTGGTTAAAGACAACAGACCTATTGGCGGCATTTGCTTTCGTATGTTTCCCACGCAAAATTTTACGGAGATTGTCTTCTGTGCCGTAAGCTCGAATGAACAAGTTAAGGTAGAAATCATCTTTAGATGTATAATCATGAGGGCATTGTCTTATCATTATGAGATTGAGTCTGCAAGTTCGTTGAATCGCTCAAGACTAGTGTAAACATTTTTCCATGTTATTTAGAACGTTGCTTGGTTTTCATTACCTTTGTATTTATAACTATATATATATATATATATATATATATATATATATATATATATATATATATATATATATATATATATATATATATATATATATATATATATATACGATATATATATATATACGATATATATATATATATATATATATATATATATATATATATATATATATATATATATATATATATATACGACTACAATCTGTTTAGAAGTCAATTGATGTAATTTTAACCGTTATAGGGATACGGTACGCATTTGATGAATCATCTCAAGGACTATCACATTCAACATGGAGTACTCAATTTTTTAACTTATGCAGATGAGTTTGCCATCGGCTACTTTAAGAAACAAGTAAGTACACTGTAGCTCTTGAAAATGCTGCAGTCGTTGCGTTCAGTCTTAAATGATTTGTTGACTGATGAAAAGTAATGAATGTTATGTTTCTTAACTTTAAATGCATGTTTGAATTAACCCAGTGCTAATTCATTTTAAGCGAGTATCATTCGCTCCAAGTGCTGAACCGATAGCTCAGGACGCGTGCACACTGTGAGAAAATGTTCACTCGTGCACAGAATTATTCAACATGTTGAATATCCGACGCCGATATCGCGAGTGCCAGAATACGACACCGCACACTTGAGGAAACAGCTCAGCTAACAGTCGTGCACAAGTGACGCTCAGCTCAGCTGTTTCCTCCAGTGTGCACCGGGCTTAAAACATTCGATACTGAAACGTTTCGACCTTGCACCAGTCCTCCCCAGAACTCCTTGCGCGCTCGCTCAGCTTAGCCACTAATCTATGTAATAGCCTGTAGTGTTCCTATATTTATTTTATTTAAAACGCCTGGGAACGAGGCTGACCTTGCACATGTAAAACGCAGGATATCGTATCGCATTCATCCGAAAACAACTATTGTAATTAATCGTCATTTTGACTAGCTTAAAATACAATGAGACAATTTGAGTCGCACCCATTTTGTGGGCACAGGCCCAAATTCTCCGTACGGGTCCAAGTTCCCAAGCAAACGTGAAAAAACCAGCATTATTAGTTCATGACAGTACTTTAAAGCATTGTAATGCGATGATACATTGCCTATTTTGGAATAGGAAAGCAGGCAGTCTTAGGATAGTTTGGCCGCATACTCTCCCAAGAAAATTTCGAAATTTATCAGTTGCGTAGCCTGCCTGACAATTTAATCCAGCTAGGGCCATGCTTATTGGTGTTCATTGTCGATGGAAAAAATGAATCTCTAAAGAAATGAATAATGAATAAGTAAACATAAACCAAATCATCAGGCTGGCTGCGCTGATATTTATATGAAAGCTGATGCGATTTTCGGGGGAAGGGCAGGTTTTTTACAGAATTGAATTACCTAAATTATTATAGAACTCCCAAATGAAGGAAAATGTGACTTTTTTGTGTTATGAAAAGGAGACCTCTCTTGCGTGCGTGATGTCAAATAAGAATTGTAATTAAAAGTGTATTTGAATCCACCTCGAAGAAAAAAATTTTCCTTGATTCATTCCAATCATGATTTTATTGTAATGTAATATTTTATATGATGACTACTATAATTCATCTATTGTCGATGTTAAATTCTCTAATCGTGTATTTCTCCCTTTTTTGCTCAAGGGATTTTCTAAGGAGATTACTTTGGCACGAAATGTTTACCACGGTTATATAAAGGAATATGAAGGAGCAACACTGATGCATGTAAGATCAAGCTATATCATGTTTTCACCCTTCCCATTTCTGTAGTTTCGGCTTGGTTATTTTTATTTTTATTATTATTTTCCTCTCGGGTCGACCCCCAGCGTCGCTACTGCATGCAGGCCATATCACCCTAATCGTGGACCTGCGCACAGGTAAGCTGCCAGGCTACGGTTACCAAGACTCTATCATTAGCTCTATTATTATATCACGTGTTGTATTCACTTTGGGCATATTTCGTTTCATCTTCGAAGCAATATAGAAGAATCAAGAAAGCGATCAAAATGCTAGCAAGTCATCTTTACGCTCATTACACATACAACTGCACACTTAGAGCACAGTAAGCCTACACTAAAAGATGTCGAGCTGTTTTGAAAGGGGCTGTTCTGTGTCTCTCCTGCTTTCAACATTTTTGTTGAACCAAAGTTGATTATCTTAAATTCGCTGAATACTCTGATAAAATCACAATACAATCTCACGAGATATCACTAGTATCATTCCGAGGGTCGTGGGTTCAATCCCCATGGCGGGGTCAAGTAGAGTTTTCTCTTACTTGCCGGTATGCTTTTCTATGTATCAATAAAGACCATGATTCATGCGATTTATTCATGAATATGTAAAAGTAAAACTTAATTCTTAAGTTCGAAAACGCCAACACTTCATAGTCAGTCAACAAGACCTCAGACGTCATACTAAATTTCTGTACGAACGACGCGACCTTAGCGCCTAGCAGGCGTCTTGTTCAATATTTTAATAGTTTGTGTCTTTTTCTTAAAGTGTATCCTCAATCCCAAGATACAGTATACAGAATTTTCTTCTGTTATAAAGAAACAAAAGGAGGTAAATACCGGTGAACTCTAATAAATGTGGAACGATAACTCAGGGGGGGGGGGGAACTGAAGCCGACTTTGTGCTCAGTTTGCAGGTAGACACAGTCTTTTTTAAATATTTTTGTCAAAAAAAGATTTTTAAATCGATGAAGTTTTCATAATAAATCTTGCACTAGCTTCGTATAATATACGTAAACCCGAAGAATGATGACTGAATTTCTCAAATATGTAATCAGATTTAACAAAAATGTTGCCTTTACGAAATAATATTGAAGTAAACACGAAAATGACAAAAAAAGTGTTTTCCCGGTTTTTCTGAGTTTTTGAAAGTTTGAGGTACACCTAGATCTTCAAACCATCAAAATAGTGTAGATTGTTCTTAAATACACCTACTTTTTTAGTTTGGGAAAAATTGGGCCCTTGTGGAGAGAAAAAAACGAAGTTTAAAAACAAGAGTATTTAAGTATAAATTATAAATATATACACTGTAACCAAACATTGTCTGGACACATTGTTTGCTTTGAAATAAACCAGGTGACATTGTGGCAAACATTCCCCAAAAACGAAGCTAAAAACAAATTTATATTTTCACGGCAACTCCTTCGCTTCGAACGTCAGGATCGTGCGCGAAAGCAATCTAGCAAAAGGTCGTTTCCGGGGGGAGATGAGCATTATTAGCGCTATGTTTGGCAAGAGTTTGCGTACTTAACCTTGCGAAGAAATAACTTCATTTTGGATTTATGCTCGACAATTTATTCACACTTGGTTTCACTTCGGAACGACGTAATCTTCACCTCTAAATATATTCTAGTGTTGACAAAACCCGCGAAATTTATTAGCAGTGGGACGGTAATGATAACCAAGACTCTTGCAGCTGCCAGCTTCAATGAAATAAAAAGACATATGTATAAGGGCATATGTAAGAGTACAGCACTCCAATGTATCTCTCAAACAATGTAAAATATATCACCAAAGAGAATCCAATTGGTAGAATCGACAATTGAAAAATTATGACGTTCGGAAAGCAATCGCTGCATGAGACCCAGGAATGTTCGCAGCAGTAAAAGAGTGATAACGGTGCTCCTATACAACCAACTCCTAAATGAACGACAGATTCAATGAGTATGAGAAAATAACAAATCTTGTTCTTCAGTTGAGTTGATTTAAGAATTGTCACCATTAAATCAGGTTCAGTATAAAACGGTTGAGATCACTAACAGGCCATTGATGGAAATGGCTGCTACGCGGTTCATTTCGTATTCACAGGATGAAAATCTTGTTGCAAACCATTGTGTCCTTCCAAAGCAGCCAGCTAGTCAATTACATTTTTCAGCCAATCTGAACTTCGAGTTGGCTAACGGCATGCAGTGACTGATTGAATATACAGCACAGGGTTGCATAGTGAAGTGGCCCTACTGCATGTTTTCTTCCTATACTGTGGTGGTGACTATAACCGATCTGTATTTATCCTTTTACGTAAACATAGCAGTTAAAACTATCAAAAGTATCAAATCTAATTTTTTTTCAGTACTTTGTGTAATGTTTTTATGTCTTATTTATAAGGTAGAATATCAACAACTATATAATTAGAATTATATAATTACCTACAAGCTTAATTACTTAGCTATATAATTATACGCGAATCCTCTCGCTGTCAAAAGAGCGCACTTCTCTTCCCCGTGTTACTCCCTCTATAGTCAGTATAACCAAATTTGGCAAAGTGCATAAAGTTGAACTTAAAGTTGAAATATTACCTATTTCGGTACACTGGTAGAAGAAAAACTTAAGAATTAATTATTATAATTTAATTCGATCTGGAGGTAATGTTAAAAACTGAAGTTGTGTTCTAACTACCCAGAACGTCTGCTTTAGCTAATATACTTTCTTTGACAATGACATCGTCCGTTTTTGTTCATGAATAATGATTGCATGATGGTATACAATAGTACCATCTAGAATTGTCATTATATAACGTAATTTTTTACCCACGCAGATTGTTAAAAAACTTATTCAAAAACGACAAGACGAAATCAAGAAAATCTATCCTGGTTTGACGTGCTTTAAAGAAGGCGTTAGACAGATTCCCGTTGAGAGTATTCCTGGTGTGGGTAAGTCTATCGATTTCTCGAGTTTCATGCCTACGTTGTAAAAATGCCTTAAAGCGATAAAACTGCAGATTTTGAACTAAGAATCAAGTGAATCCAATTTTCAGTACAACGAATACAACCGCCCCCCCTGTTCAAGTGCGATCTGCATGGGGTCATATAGATTATATATTACAGGGTGTAGGTTACCCAGGTTTAAACCCTACAATTTCTCTTTAGACGAGACAGGCTGGAAACCACCGACTAAGACGAGGTAGTAATGATTGCCCGTGTGCAAATTTTTTCTTTAATCTAATGGCTGCGATTTAAGAAATATTGTACGTGAAAAATATCGTTATATTGTGGTTCTCTAAATACCTACCTATACATTCATTCATGAAATCGTGTCAATAATTGCTTAATGGGATAAGCCTTGGATTTTCCATGAAATACAAAGTGTGTCTGTTGTATTGTCGCTAACAAGAAGTATTTTATTCAAGGGCGGATGAAACTGTTGATTCTGAGAAACTTTCCGTTCAGTTGAAGAATATTTTGACACAAGTCAAGGTTGGTTTGTAATGGATTTGATATAGGCAATACGTCGCTGTTATCGTAATAGTAATCGAGGTGTATGATTTTCATTATGACTTTTTCCATTATGAGTAATAAAAATTACCTCTGACACTTTATGGGGCTATTTCCTTCGGTTAGCCATTGTTTTATGATTTCCCCGTTCTTCATGAGTATTTTCAAGTTGTTATCATTTTTGTGTTCATAAAGTTTTCGTCACATTACAGAACCACGCGAGTGCCTGGCCTTTCATGAAAGCTGTAGAAGTTTCGGAAGCTCCTGATTATTACGAGTACATCAAGTATCCAATGGGTGAGTGGTTTTTTGAGTGTAACAGTGAACTCTGATAAAACTGGAAGGATAACTCCATAACAAGGTCCAGTCATTGGATGCATGAAGTTATCTAATTATGGCGGGAAATTTCGTATTTGGGGGCAAAAATTTGCCAGAAAAGTGCATTTTTCAATTAACAACTTTGACTTTGAACAACGAATAATTTAGTAATTTAGTAACTTAGTAATTCGCATTATGTAACTGTAAAAACCGGCGGGTTATAAGCTGTGCACTTGAAATAGCAAATAATAGGATGATAGCATTTTTCACTGAAGTGTACTAAAGTACGCAACATATATTTGCAGAGCCATATCTTTTATGAAAAATAATGGAATTATATGTAGTTGTGAGTTTCACACACCGATTCACCACAACGTCTTGTCTAAAATCTTTCTCATGATGACGCGTTAAACGTGGAAATCCTATAATGTGCCTCAGCTAGCGTGATATTACAATTGAGTATACCTTGTTTTAAATGTAGACCTTAAAACGATGACAGATCGCCTCAAGGCCGGTTACTACAGCACTAAGAAACTCTTCGCAGCTGACATGATGAGGATTTTTAGCAATTGTCGAACGTACAATGCTCCGGACACTGAGTACTATCGCTGTGCTAATACAATGGAAAGATATTTCCTCAGTAAGATTAAAGAAGTGGGATGAACAAAACTAGAACGCCAATCTTTCCCAGGGCGATTATATCAAATATGATGTATAAAGATTATATTAGAGAGACATCGGTCCAAATTACGTTCCTCGAAAGTCATTTTCCTTATCGTTGTTTTGCAAAGTTATTTTCAAACCTATTCACCTGCTTTTAGTAGAGTATACTAGTTCATATACGATTTTATACGAATTGCTATAACACTCTAATGTCTGGTTATATCGTAATGGTATAGTTTCACTGAGCAAATATGTATTTTTAATGAAAAATTCCTTTTTTCCCTCATTGCGAAGTCTTTTTGTATACAAATCCTTCTCGAGCAACATAACCGAGCAACACATACCCAACCATATATTTTTGTTAACCGTGACGAGGAAAGGTGCCTCCCCGTCCTTGATCCCTCAATCGTACGCTCGATTGTCCGTGATTTTACCACAAGATTAAGTGATTATTTTTGGACGCCTAAGCTTATACGATGTATCATTCATTAATGAGATAACACATGAGAGTATCATCTTCACCGCTAGACCACGAGATCATGCAACATTCTTAGATGATCATATGGCGTATATAGCCGTGGCTTTAATTTTACACAATCTCTTTCCTCAAAGGTCATGCATAATTAAATTTTTGGACCAGGAACTGGTCCCTAACCGCTGCTAATCTTGTTGTTGTTGTTGTTAGGGGGCGACGCTCTTTAAAAAAACCCTAAGGCTCTATCATTACTTGTTTGATCGGAATGAAACTTGGCACAATTATTCTAAGCAATATTCCGCATCGATTGACCGTTGAAGCAAGTTACAAGCAATTCTTGACTATATGTGCAGCAAATAATATATACATATCATTAATATTCAGCCTATATATCATTACCATTCAGCCTGTACAGGGTGAGTCAAAAAAAAGTGACACCTTTGAAATTCAAATTAGCCGCATAGCGGCTGTAATGCCGGTGACAGAAGTTGCTTAAAATATTTCATGGGTATACGAAGCATATCATATTAATTAACCTAAAACATAAAGTTTGTTCCCATTGGGAGTTAAAATGCATTCTAAGCTCTGTAAATACAAAAGAATAGTTTTATCAAATCGTTTTTGTTGATTGTACATGGGAATTGTCATATTCCAGTCATAAGTTCGCAGCTAATTTGAATTTCAAAGGTGTCACTTTTTTTTTACTCACCCTGTATATAAGAATACCCAAACGATTAGAAATACATTGTCCTCTCTATTGTTGTAAATACAATGCAGTTCAGAAACTCGGTCACGCAGTTCCTGGTCCACTATACATAGTACGATCGTACTTGTTTTGTTAAACCACGGGGGAGATTTTTTTCGGGATTTGTACCATCGACTAAGCACTTGAGGGACCATGGCCTGGCTTAAAGTTTTAAATATCACCCATCATTTTTGTAAAAAGTCATAATGAAAAATGACTTTTCTGAAAGGTCAAAGTGGAAAACATTCATAGAAATTGAATTAACAACAGCGTAGCTATGCATGTCTATACTAAGTGTAAGTATGTGTTTATCAATTATCGTGATTGGGTTTTTCAATTTGTGTTCCGTTTATTCCGTTCCCTTCCGTTCTCTAATAGATGATGTTGAGTTAGCCTATAGCCAATGTTGCACAATATATTCTGCAAGTTCTGCGTCCAAGCATTTATTTCTGCAACATTTGTCAGGTATCTTTTGCACTGACTGTGAGCCTGCGGTTTATCAGCATGCAACAATGTTGTGCATGCTGCCATCATTGTTCACATGCACTTGTCAACAAACAACATTGAACAATATTGTTGAAACTGAATCGGGTGTAAGTTGTGTTACAATATTGTTCAATGTTGATAACAAATCTGCATGAACAATGTGGGCAGCACAACATTGATCCATCCTGTTCATACCAATATTGCATCAACCTGATCGTTTTTAGGCGTGTATCGTGTCATTTTGTGAGGACTACACAAAATGACTACGTCTCCTTTTGTAAAACTAACAGACTTGATAAGGTATTTTTCATAGCAATTTTATAGCTACAAATTTCTATTGCCATATGGTGATTATTAGCTAAGCTTAGATCACATTAAACCGGACAGCCATTCACGGTATTGTACGCACTGTAAATCCTGAATTTAATTAATCGCCACGGCGAATCTGCGTTTCAGCACGCATCATTCTTCGCGGATCGCAGAATGTCTGTTGTCCGTTGTTGCGGATCCGTTGTCTCACATAAATTGCCATTATGGTACTTCATGATATCAGTAAGGAAAATGAATATATTAAGTGGACACTTCAACAACATAAAAACAGTAAATATTTCATTTTTAAATATCCAAAGCGTCTTGTTTAGCTTAATTTAGGCTGTAAATTTTCACAATATTATTAAACTATTTATCTACCTATCTTTGGTTTTCCCACGATGAATGTCGTTAAAAATAAGGACATTTATATTTTTACGAGGCTTGAAAAATATTACTCCACTTGTTTACCTCGTTTAATTCACACAAAAAGGACGGACGGAAGATAATTTCAGACAAAACATTTCAAAGACAACGCAAGGCATGAAAATTTTGAAACAATGCTTAATATGTTTTTTACTAGATTTTTAATTGAAACTACCTAATTTTGTTAACGCCAGTAACTTGGTGAATTGGGGATTTAAACAATAAGACAATATGTTGTTATACGAATACTCACGTTCATTATAGTAGTTTGATTCGATAGCTAGATCTTTTTCCAAAGAGCAACTTAGCGTTTCGCTTGAAGAATGAATATCCCCCGCAGACGCTTCTTGCTCGTCTTACTAAACCGTAACCATATGTTTTTTATCACCACAAAGCTGTCCATAGACGTTATAGAAGGCCTATGCTCTGTGCTTTATCTAAGATCGGCACACGTATACGCGGAAAGCGAACACGTGGTACACGTACACGCGGTACACGTACACGCGGACCCCATGCTTCAATCTCAAAGGCTAATACAGCAACCAATAAAACTAAACAGAATATCTTTATCATTTTGGTCAATCTAAACAAAAATTAATTCAATGCAAACTGATGTTGTTATTCTTTGTTAAAATATTTATAAATATATAACTCGCCTATTGCCTATTCAGTCGGGTGACAGAAAAAATATACAACTACTCTAAAATTTGTCAAGCATGCCGGCATCTTTGATAAAAATTAATAATTTCACTTTGCGATTCAACTGAATATGAATTAAACGCAAATTTGATTATAGGTTTGTTTTCATATAACTTAATCGGTACGTACCTGTTTGTTAATCACGCAGTCGCGGTTAACTAAAAGTAACCTACGCCCCTCAGAAAAATTTTCCGTGAATAATACGGTGAATATAATATAAATATGCCCCTGCCCAATTATCGTTTTTCCTACACGACGCAAGCATAGAGAAGTTTTAGCGACACCATCGTCCAATAATTTGAAGCTAATCATTTAGTATATAGTTTTATGGATGACCATGTGGACGACGTAGCTGCCTGTATAGCTGTAGTTCATTTTCGAGTTAGTATAGTGTACGGAATCATTGGAAGAGAAATGCAACTGAACTATTACTAAAGTGAACCTTTACGTAGTATGTTCAACTTAAAATCAAAGTTATGTAAGGAGGTAGGTAAAAAAAGGAAAACAGAAGACAAGATAGTCAAGCGTGCGAATCAGTATCCCCGTACGCGGACTCGTCAGCGTGGAGCAGGGTTGGCTTTGTGTAAAAGAGACATGAAGATAAGAAAAGGGGTAAAAGTGGTGTGTATTTATAGGAGAAGCATAAAGAATCAAACCTGCGTGGAAATGTATTCGTAAAAGGTAAAATAGTAAAATTAAACTGTGTGTCTTACCAAAATTGTTGTAGAACTTGGATAAACCAACGCGATGAGCCATCTTTAGTTAGAGTTGTTATGTGAAACGAGTGGAATTTAATCAGTAATCGGCTTGGATATACTTAAGAGCAGAGCTTGTGTTCGTTCAAGAAGTTTGATCGAAAAGGGGTGAGGGTTGCCGAGTGTGCATAAAATGCGTTAGTATGTTACGTTACTGGGGTCAGGTGTCAAAGTCTATGTTGGGGATAGTGGGGGTTTACGTGTCAGTTATAATGGTTGTGTTGTCAAAAGTCAACCATTAAAATTTCATCAAGTTAGCTTTATTACTTTTTGAGTTATCGTGCACTTTTGTAAGGGGAATGAGAATTTTAGTTTGCTAAGAAAAGCGACGAAAAAAAGTTTTGCATATATTCATAAATTATAGAGAACAATGAAACAATAGAATAGGTCAATCGACCCTTTTGTTTGCTCGGGGCAAAAGCCTAATTAATAAAACTTTTTGTTTAATTCTCGCGTTCTTTGTGTATTTTTTGGAAAAACAATATTCAGGATCGCTTAGGGGTACATTTAGGTTTGCATCCCTTGAAATTTTAAAAACAGGATAAATCATAATTTTTTTGTAGTGGACCACATTAAGGCAACTTTGACCCTTAATTACTCAGGATCGTCCTGTTAAAACAGTAAGCCCGTTTTTGAGGAATCACCCTCTAAAGGCTAGTTTCCACTCAGGAAAATTCTCCTTTGGATCGGACAGGACTGGAGAGTTTCCTTTGTATAAACGCCGCCTGAGAACTCACCGACAAAGGAAATTTTCCTGTCCGTTCCGATTCAAAGGAGATTTTTCCTGAGTGGAAACTAGCCTTAAGGAATTACATTTAGTCGCGACCGGAGCTTTTAAACAACCATTTAGAAAGTTTCGTGGATAATTGTTCCCTCTCAACACATTGAGGACATAATCACTCTCGTTGTTCAGCTCCGTCTTTGAAACAAGTTTTTGCAACAGACTTTTTACGACTTTTTGGTGATGCGAGTAGGATAGATATTTGTCCGTATGTCTAGGTTTACCGAAAACATCAGTATCTAACTGCTCTTCGAAATTTCTACGAAAACAGGTAGGTTCCCCTCACTCGCGCGCTGTGAACAAATTTAGCGTTACGAACTAGCATTGGCCAATGGCAATATTGTTTTAGCAGTTAAATATGCAATTATTTTCCACTCATGTTTGAAGTGTCTCTATCATGGTAAGGTATTTTAAAAAACTTTGCATTACATATTATTAAAAAAATACATATTATTAAAAAAATTGTCTTGATGGATTTTGACGGACATGACGTCAAATCGATTTGCAATTCCCGATTCCATCAAGACAAATTTCAGTTTAATTACAAAATGTATTGCAGAGGTTTTTTTAAATATTTACTATTGATATATTTAAAATCTGCAACCATGATATAGGAACACGCCGCAAATGCAATTTCTCGACCATTCTGTGGATATCACATCTCATCTATAACGATATAGCCATTCGTCCCTCTACCCTCCGCTTGAAAAAAATTAACCGAATTGTGAAAATACCGTGGCAAATATTTTATCATAATAAAACCATAACTCATAAGCATAGTCTTAAATTATAGCCAAAATTCAGGAAAATTAATATAACAGAAAAAAACGCAACCATATTCCATATATACCATATACACCATATACATACATACTTTCTACAAATATTTACATCTATATGACTATGCATTTCCAGTTGTTCGAGGCCCGTTAAGTTGTACAGAATACCCTACGTACCAGATAAAACCACATGAAAAGAAGAAAGAATGGAAACAACCACAAAGAGAATACTATTAATGCAATTTGTATAATTTCGCACAATCTGGTTCCAAAATAATAGAAGAGGATTTCGTGTCTCTTACATAAAAACTAAAACATCGAATTAAAACTCATCCCTTTTCCCTTTCCGCTAGATACAAAGCCAAATAATCTGTAAAATTCATCCTGTTTATTGATAAATCAGTATTGCATCAACCTGATCGTTTTTAGGCGTGTAATGAACAAATTAGTATCGGTGTAGACTATATTCCATGCATGGACAACACATTTCACGACATTTAACGGTAACTATACGCGAATGATTTGTGAAAGATACTCCATACAAGTTTAAAATTTTAATCACACATGCACTTCCGTAACCCATTTTAGCATGCTTATAGCATTGTGCTTTCTGTTGTCTTAACTAAGTTCGAACAACTGGTGATATTTTTTGCTGTGGTTCAAAAACTTCGTCAATACAGGTACACATTTTTGACCAACAATTTTTGAGAAAGTAACTTGGATATTTTAAACGGCACATTATAGCACTTAATGTAGCTGTACCGTCTTGGGGCAAAGATATTACAGTTTTTTAATTTATTAATTGTTCTCCGTTCTCCGTTATTTACTCCATAAGTTTTGAAAAAAAATATGAGAAGTTAAGACAGTTTGAAAGAGAAAATATTACCCTTACGGAAATATTATGGTTGCGTTGCGCATGCATGGTTAGAAATAGGACCTGAGTGAGTGTCAGTGGTTAAACGCCAAATGAAAATCGTCGTTAGCATAAACAGGTAACCGAAATTGCGGGCCAGAACAACCACAGGCGACGTACAAGTATTTGAACCACAACAAAGGCTCTTATTAATAAAATTCTATTCATTTCCAACAATAATGCTAAAAGAATGTAATACGTTAGCATAAGGTAAAATAATATATCCTAAATGGTAAAGTCATTGTTGAGCATGCTTATCGTACGAGCAGAGAGCTAAAGAGACCACCAGACGCGATTAAAACATAGTCATGAATTCAAAAGTCTGTCTGTCGCCATTAAAATCAATGCGGATTAAAAGTATATGACTAGTTTAGTAACCTAAAGTTACAGGCTAAAATTTTTGTAAAATCTATGATACATGAAATATACGTCATACTATTGTACAGCATCGGCAAACACGCCGCCGACCTCCTCCGACACTCGGCGGCGGCGTGACGGGAGCAAAATAAGCATGGACTCTTAAATTTGGAAGATGATTCTAAAATAAAAAATATGTTATTAATGCCATGTACAAATTGTTCACTACCACGAGCTAGCACGGACCGTCCCAATTCAAAGATAATCATTCATTTGTTTTCAGTGATCCTTTGAATTGGTAGCTGTTTCGAAATGTCGTCAGTTCCAATTCTCAACAAGAGACGCGAAAATGGACCGGAAATAGACTGAATGTTACTCTTACCTTAAGCCTACGGATTCCACCACGAGTAATTAACTGACAATCATAAAGCTCTATCCTTTTCAATGATCTACAGTCCCTGTATTAATAGAAAAATAGTGAAGTGTTGTATATACCGTACATAGGACATTGGAATAGAATTAAAGTGTCACCTTCAAATTTGTAACGAAATTACGGTGCAAAGTGCATTTAAATATTATACGACATATTTTTTTCTCTTTATTTCCGAAGAATAATTATCGTGTAAGATTACTGTTTTCAAAATTTAAATATATAGTTGATCGTTGTCGAAATATAATATCAAAATGAGGTCATTCAAATTACTATTTCAATAGAATACGTCATTTAAGTAAAAATTCGTCAAACTTTGACAGAAGATATCTTTACAACAGAATTAACAATAAACCATTCTATTAACAGCTCTTACTGGCTGACCAATTTCCGACAGGATTGAATGGAAACAAAATTAGTTGTATAGTTTGTTTAGGTAACCACGAACATTCCGACTATAACGTCTCAGACCCATCATATAAACCAAGACAATTGAAATCCAAGTGAGCATGTGATCAGGCTATTGCTGGGAAATTTTTACAACGACCTTATTGATATTAAACTCTTAGTGATCGAATTAAGACATCACTTGCGTTTTCAGATTTTAGATACAGCACACAGAACACTGTGTAAACTCACAACAGGTACAATGTTTTTGTGCTACACATATTTACTCTTGGTGTCTTTTTCAGTTCGGCAGCATTTTGAACAGAAATGTGTAGAAACTTACTTCAAATGATATAGCGCAGTGTCTGTTATCGATGGACAATTGTCTAATTCCAAAACCTCGAGGTATTCTTCAGCATTGTGTCCCGCACTTAATCTGTGAATACCGTCGTCACTGATTTGTTCACAATGAGACAAACTCTACAATAAGAGATAATTGTAATGTAGAATGTATTAAACATTGATGGAGAAGAGCGAAAAGTATCAACATACGATCATTATTATCAAGCTGGCAACGTAATATTTTGGGCTCATTTTCCAAATTTGCCTTGTAACCAGGCCTGATTCAAGATGGCGGCAACGTGTGGTGTATATATAACCATATAGTTCAACAAAAACTAACACACTAAAAAATAAACTTGCCCCACACATAAACCCAAAAAATAACTAAATGGTATTGTAAAGGTGCAATTTAGAAAAAAATAGAAAGTTTGTAGAAAAAAGAAGTCAAAATAAATGTACCTTAACAGGGATGTTTTGCAAAAGAAATCAGTCGGGTATAAGATGAATATACACCCCTTCCCAATTAAGCTTTCACTTAATTTAGCAGCCCTTTAATGGGAAAGGTGAAAACTCACGTTGGTATGTGCCGGCTGCTTAAGCGTCTTACTTATGGGGATGGGGGGTTTGCATTTCCACCCTTTGTAAATTTAGTGCATGATATTTTTCAAAAATGTGTTCTTAAATCAAGCATAGAAACGTTCCATGGCGCACCACCATTTCTAGTCATGGGTTACTGTGCACTCTTACCAGTTGACGAAGATTTGAACACCAGGTGGAAAGATTAGTGAGGGTTGCATCTGTAATCTGAAATATACCATAGAATATTATTTAACTTTTTTGTATAAAAAAAATTGCAGGAGACACGTAATGTAACAAAAACGTCATTTAATACAGCATGACGGCGCTGTTTCGTTCTGCAACGTGAAAACGAACGTCTTCTAATTAATCGAATACATTTGAGACCGAAAGCGTTGTAAACAAGACTCAAGAGGTAAAAAGTTTTTTGTTGCGAACACAGCGAACGACTTGTAAACTCCAAAAGAAGCTTTGATTTGTATAATCTCATTATTCATTGCCTCACACTGGCTGAAGTTTCATTTAATATCGCTGGCCCAGGCCAAGGGTGTCCGGTTATATTCACCATCCGAGAAACCAGCGTAAAATGAGTATAGATACCTTCCTTGTGATATTCTTAGAGATATTTCAAGAAAGACTTAACATTTTTTTATAAAAATATAATAAAATTCTTGTGCTGTGGGATCAAAAAAAGAGAGCTTACCAATACGCATTCCTCTAAATCCATTTTTTCTAAATTATGACAGCCCTATATTAAACAAAACGATCACGCCCAAATTTACAACAGATTACAGTTGATTTGACTTTATTGCATTTATACACCCTGCCACATATGATTACTATTCCTATACTGCAAACTTTGGAGGGATTGTTTTCCCAATTGTGCACCTGTTTCGCTTGGGGAACAACGGATTCTGATAAAGTAAATTTTTATCTATTGATTCATGTGAAAATTATGTAGTTCCACGAGAGGTGCAACGGAATCCGTTTTCTAAGCATCTTTTGGATGCTCATCCCACGGCCTACTGCAAGTGGCCGTGAAGATTACCTATACATAGTATAGCTACGTTGTGTGGCGATTGTACTAAGCTTTAATATTAATATAGATTTTTAATATTTTTAATATAGATTTTTTCTTACCTTCGCTAATTTACTAAAGCCAGCATCAGTCAATTGCAAACACTGCGCTACTTCTATAGTCCTAAAATGTCAGAAATACTCGTATTTTATATAGAAAAAAAGAATTGAAGTGGTACACAAATGATAACAGATTGTTGCCGATTTAAAACTCTAGGGAATAACTCAGGTCGCGCAATATCAAACCCACATTTCCGAATTTTCCTGCGACTCGTCACACAAGATTTAATTATTAAGTTTCTTTCAATATGCAAAAGTTACAAACACAAAATTGTGGTTTGACATCACTGTTTCATGAGTGAACATAAAAAGGCCGTTTCTAACTTATAGTTGGAACCTGTGGTAGAACCAGTGTGTCAAAGACCATTCCATTAACAATATATATGATCGTTATGGACAAAGGCGTTGCTTGAAAGCCTGGCATATTAATGCAAATCATCATTGGTAGGTAACGTCATGCATGTTGAGAGATTATACGGATCAATGTTTCAACATCAGAGTGATCAGACCACCCGCGATGGAACCGCCGTGAACTTATTAACTTGAATAGTTCAATTGGTTATATAAAATGAGCTATTCACCAATACTTGAATGTTATCTATATGATAAAGTTCTTTCGACATGTTTGCAACTCCCGCAAGCCTTCAAAATATACGTATATCAAACTTCACTCAACATACCTAAGATGTGGACATCCTTCGCCGAGCGCCTGTAAAGAAGCGTCCGTAAGATGAAGGCATCCTGACACACACAAAAACTGAAGATCTGAACAATTTTCACCAACAGCTTTTATCGCCACATCTGTTAGTAACTATATAATCAATAACATCCAGAAATAGGGTAAGTCATCCTCCTCCTCAATTTTCACTCTCCTCAGTTGACCTCACGTAAAAAATATGCATGCCATTGTATGCGAATGTGGACGCGGTCGCAGATAGAAGCTTGATTATTGTACATTATTTCAAACGGTAGCCCTTCAGCAAACACTCTTTTTTAAAGCGCTTTTACATTAAATTAATTAAATATACATAACGATTACTATGCATTTGGTGATTTTCATTGTCACGTAATTAAAACATGTTAAGCCCCAGGGCGCTTATATATACATTTGAGCGCCCTGTTAAGCCCGTTTTCCACTAGGCGAATTTATTCGCGCGACGCAAAGCCATATAACGAATCGCGAAGCGAAAAACCTGGAATGTCATACTAAAGTGTCTCTTTTTTAAAGGGTAAACTTTTTTGGAGGATCCCATCTAAAGATAGGAGGGTGCAGTGCAAAATCTCACCTCGCAACTGTGTAAATTAAGTGTATGTAGATTTCTACAATTTCTGGCTAAGTGCTGAACGCCTTCGTCTTGGATCTGTGTTGAAAAAAATCTTGGTTCACTTTACAGCCAAAGCGATGCGAGAAAAAATTAGAGCGTATCACATGATTATATGAGGATTATATTAATTAGGACAAGGACAAGATGTCCATAAAAAGTTGGAAGCGAAATATACTAAACAATATATTTTGAAACATTTTGAAAATCCGCTTCAGAAAGCGCCTAAATGTACTTCATTGGTTTTAGGAATCGAGATTGTAACTTCTCATTAACTTGAAAACTGATAATATTTACTGGTTACAAAATGAATAGCGCGTTTTACTATACGCACTATCCCAGCGTGCATGGTCATACAAGTGCCTATATTGAGTGTAAGTCTGACTTACTAAAGTACATCCTTTTGCAATAAAACTTTGTATATGTGAACATTCCTCTGATAAAATTCTAACACCATTTTGCGTAAGTTGGCCACACCATGAGACATTAATATGTTCTATTTTCTCGCATCCTTGACTAGAAATAAACAAAGAGTTTATTACTGCAATCATGCACACATATATAAGGACTATCACTCTCACACCACAAAAACTACACATGCACGGGTTCGTCCGGAGTCAACCTATGCATTAGGTTTGTTTTCCACGCTGCGAAATTTTTCATTGTCTGCGCGCTTTCATGCAGAACTAATATGAGAAAAACAAAAAGAAATTCCACTCCACGCGCAAATATATTGTAATTGTAAAAATTTCCTGCGAGGGACCGGCTGTATAAAACTTATTAACTACATTTTGCATAGTTAAATCCCAGTAAACTAAAAATAACACAACTCTGATTGGCCAATTCTGTCTTAACTACAGTTAAAAGTTAACTATAGTCTTTTATATAACTGGGGCCATATCAACAGGTCTGATTCGACACAGTGGTTGGAAAGCTTCCACGAAAGAAAAACAATGATACAACGGTGGTATTGAATATTGAATATTGAAACTTGAATTGCAAAAAAAATCACATTCCACAAGTGGAACAGCGAATTCGTCATAGTTCCCATGGGCCATGGTGAAAATAAATAGTTGTATTTTGAATAATAATACCTTGGGAAGAACTCTCAAGCTGAGAAGAAGACGATGCAGTGAGGGACAGGCAACCACACCAAAATACTTAACGTCAAATGCGGGGAAAAAATTGGGAGGAAAGGTCATATATCGTCGTTTTTTACCAACCTTAAAGCGATGCAACCGTTATCTGTTATATTTGAGGACAAGAAGACAAATCCAATACTCTCAGATTTCTACAAGTTACTAAGGTTGAAACACGTACTAGAGAAATAGCAAGTGACATTAATGAGTTATTATTGTATTTACGCTCTCGGGCTGGATTTCCACTGCAGAGAATGGTTCGCTATAGGGAAAACATATTAGCATATATTTTTCACAAAGAATAGCGTACCGTACAATTACCTATCTGATATCTTTTTGCATCCTTCGAGAATTAATTCCTCGATATTTCTACACTCGCAGGAAAATGTTCTAAAAACAGCAATAAAGATGTTCTAAAACAGTAATAAAGGAATGTTCTTAATTAAACAGCCATAAAAATATTCTAAAACAAGAATGAAGGAATGTTCTAAAAACGCAGCAAAAAGTTCCAAAATATTAATAAAAAATGAAAGTCGAGTGAAATTTAAGTTACAGCCAATTCTATGATAGATTGTCTATAACAGATAAAGCAAAGTGTACCGTAATGCTCCATCACCAACACTCTGACACCCCTTAAGCCCTAATCTTTTTAGGAATCCTCCACATCGCCGCGACAAGTTCTGGATTACAGTCTCCTATAATGAATAGAAAACATCAGTGGATTTAAACGATCCTATATTTCTAGTACTAACGACTACGGTTATAAAAGATACGAAAATCAAGTCGTATTCAAGATCATCATGTTGAAAAATAAAGTCTTTAAAGTATATTCAATACCTGTTTTTCGTTACGTTATCAAAAATGTTCATATAGCGAGTATCTGATTGACTACACCCCAACCCCTTCCCCCTCTTCTAGGCTCTTTTCTGACTCAATAGCCTCTGACTGACAGCTTTTGCTGCACGAGAGCTATACACATGACGGTTATATCAACTTTACTCATGACTTTAACTCCAATAGTGCAAGAAATATGGGAAAATATCCGACACGAAACGAGTCATTGGGTCAAAAGCAAATAAACAGAAAGGAAGGTCTTTTGACAGATGAGAAGCAAGAAGTTCGAACAGGGCATTTGACAAGCACAAATACGTCAAAGGCTCTACCTTGCATGACCATAAATACACTGACCGTTTCCATTAAGAATTATCCGCAGAAATACGTAAATCTTGCATGGAGTGTCTTTTTCGTCAAACAAGAAGATCGGTTATTACGCATAATTTATATATATACGGTATATAATACTGCATTAGTGTATTACAGAAAATAAACTTTTATTAGATCTGAATCAACCTAGGAGATATGAAATATTAAATATATCTATAATGAATTTAAAACTTCTATTAGCCACTTTAAAATGCTACCTTTTAGTACCGCTAGTGCTAGCTATATAGCAGGCGTTTCGTATCATATCTCCTAATAATTATATCTCCCAAAATAACGCATCCAAAGTAATGAAGCAATCAATTTTTCGAAAATAAACCATAAAATTACTAGTCTATAGACACAAAAAATTTAGAGCTGCCTGTCTAAGACAGAGTTACATACAGAATAGCATTAGGAATAACGGTATGAATTATGAAAACTGAATTCGCAATTAAAGACGTGTAAACATTAATTCACGAAAGTTTTGGCAATTTTTAACAACTTTATTATTAACAACTTACACTGATATCTCGTTGAAATTCAAATAGGTCAACTCTTTGCCAGTTACTACCATCCAATGCTAAAACATTCCATAACTAAACAGAATATAAATAACGATTTAGATAGAGAAGAATATGTAGAACTATTTGAAACTATTTGAATAAATTCGCTTAGTGGAAAACGGGCTTTAGTTGCTTCAGACGCGATGAAAAACCGACATCTAAAATCCCGTTTACACTACACTCAATTTATCGGTACGGCAAGGCTAAAATTGGTACCCGTACCCAATTTTATTAGTGTCCAGGTTACCAAAACAAAGGCCGAGCACAGATGAAATGGGCAAGGGTACCCATGTTAACCGTGACATGTAAACGGGGCTTTAACCAGGTGTACTTAGGTCAAAAAGTGGAGATATTTTTTTGTCTATTTTAGGTGGTGGTTAGAACAAAAGCTAAGCTTAACCACAATCGAGCTGGAAATTTATTAGACTGGTATTGGCAATAAAAACAACTTCTTTATATTGTCGATAATGTTGAATGTTCAAGATTAAGTACGAAATATACAATATACTGTACCTACCTTTGATACCTGAGCACATCGGCAGAGAGAAACTACATCGAGAAATGAAAAAACCCTACAACAAATATGACAGAATATAACCAAATTATCCCATGAAAACAGGACTGACGCTAGAAGCTTAATTGGGGGGGGGGTGCATATTTATATATTCGTCTTATGCACGACTGATTTCTTTTGTAAGCTATTGTTTCTACGGTTGTACGAACATATAAATATGACAATACACCCCCCCCCCAAATAAGCTTCTAGCGACGGCCCTGTAATAAATTACGCACTTTGCTAAAGCTAATTACTTGCTGATTAAAGCTAATGATGTTAAAGTAGTCTGAAATTGACTGTAATTTAAGTAAACACTCAGACTAGCATTTCAATTTTGTAGTTGTTTTGCACTATGCACATGCATTTCACTCGACTACTCCATGTCACCTAAGCACGTATATGTATAATAATTTTCTGATTGATAGCTACACGATGTTGATGTATTTTTTGCTAACATGACATTGATTAACTTGATTATAACTTTTTTTTGACGAATTTCCGACGAAATCTTCTTTTATCCGAAAGCAAAAAAAGAATTTCGTTCTCTAGTGAGTAAATGCATAACATTTTATCTAACAATTCAGCACGCGTAACAAATGATCAGGTTGTTCCTGATTGATGAAAACAGGAGTGGACCAGGGGCGAAACTAGCGTGATATGAATTTCTTTTGAAAACACGTATATGTGTACCAAAGAAATCCGTCTGGCAGATTTCTTTGAATAAAATAAATATATGAATATTCGACCCCAATTATCGCGCTAGTTTCGCCACTGGACTGAACACTTGTTTGTATCTGATGAACATGTTCGTTATTAAGTTGTAGCAATTTTTTTTAAAGCTATGTCCATTCTGTGCAGTACAACATTGTTCAATCTTGTTTTCAACCACTGGGAACTTTTTTTGCCGTAATAATTAACATATTCTAAATAAAATTATACTTTTCCTAAATTTTATATTCAGATAGTATATACAATAAAATTATAGTTAAAAAATAGTTTTCATAAATCCAATTATTTAATAAAAAAGTCATGTAAGCAAGACTTGCCTTAATACCAGTTCACCCGGAAGCTTCCTGTTGATTAATCCTATTGAATCATCATCAGGGTTTCTGTTTACTTGTAACTAAAAAATAAAAATACATAAAAGATTAATACTATGCAGTTGAAAATGCTATAGCCTCATAATATATATTCATATTCATATTATTATTATTATTATTTAAGATCTTAAAATTACAATGATTTTTCGCTACTCAGAGTTTCACGATCTTTAACGATCGATCATCAGGCGATTATGTCCGTTTAATTCTCTTGCTTGATTTCGTGATTTTCAATTGATCTTGTTGCATGCGCGCATGATATATATATATATATATATATATATATTTATATATATATATATATATAAATTTTACAAAACAAGTATAAATATAAAATATTAGCAATTTATGTAGAATTATGAGAACATGAAGAAGTATTTTTGTATGCATAATTGAAGTTTGATGCAGTGGCTGCATTTATTGACCAGTTGGAATATTGCAGGGGTTATTCACACAAAATTTAATTTGGTAATTTAATTATTAAATGCACCTATCATTACGGAACCCAAAAGAAGACATTGTGATAACAAACATTTCAATAATTCTATGAAAAAACCTCAAATCCTCTCTAAAAAAGAACCTAAGTAAAAAAGTCCAAAGATTCTAGTATTTTTGAACTGATGGCAAAGAAGTCTCTAAATTTTACCAATTACAGGACATGCGATGATTGCAAAGGCACCTTTGACCTTTGCCTAACCCAACATTGGTTGTCAGTTATATTAGATGAGTTGAACTTAACCAATCCTAGCAATTAGCTCCTAAATTTTACATGCCCTTTTTGACATGCAGATTTTTCCCACACATGAAGAATATGTTAGACAGGTATCTGCAGGTACAAGACAGCAATTCATCTCGTCTGTAAAAACTGTCATAAATGTAAACATAGCTAATCATATCATCATCTCACATTTTAAATAATTTGTAATACATTTTCATAACATTGAACCGAAATTTCAATTACATTTGGATTACAATGCTATGAACATTTAAAAATTTGTTACTGACTTAGCTACCTGAGGTAGATGCATGTATTAAAGACACTCCTTATAACATGTTCAAATATGAGCTAACAAGATTATAATCTTGAATCAATATCTGTTCCTGGTCTACAAGATTATGAAACACCCTTCAGGTTATTTTAGCCTGGCTATGCTGGAAATGTATGCATAAAGGGCAAACATACTGTAGAATAGGGATGTTTGTAAAGTTTTCTACACACAAGGAACACTCGCAGATGTACACCAACATGTCATACAATCAGAGTCAAGGATATACTCGAACATTATGCATATGCAAAATTTTCCTTATAATGAATTGAAAAATCACCTGGTATTCACATGGGGTTTTCCTTCTTTTCAGTATTTTATAATCTAATATAAATTTGATACAATGTAAAACATATATTAAATGGTCTAAGCCCCTCTCATTATAATAGATAATGTACTGCTTGTATAAATACTGTAGTTTACTTTATATCAAATCGAACTAGTTCTTGTGTTACATGATATCTAAATTTGGATAAGGAAGCAAAATACATTAATACCTTTTGGGTGTTACGTATACGTGAATAGCTTGAAGTAGAACAATGTCGTTTCACTGAGAACTGTTGTCTTTTACTGAAGCCTGTGCTTCTCATTCCGAAATGAAAACACGAACCGGGCAATGAGGCACATTTACACATTAATTGTTTAGGTTTCACATAACCACAACAAAGCAGGTAACCGCACGACTTTCATACAGTAGTGTAGTTTCTCTAGAACCCTCATTGGAATTCGCTTACATTTATTCGAAATTTTCAAACAATAATTGTTCTTTTTTCATTACTAATACACCTATATAAAAATGTTGTCCTCAATGAACATCTAGGCACTTGAACTCGTGGAATTTTTACCCACAACAAAACGAAGGGTAAGAAGCTTAGCGAAGTTTACCCGTTGTCAACGGACATGATCGGATGTTCTAGCCTTCGCAGATACTCGACAGAATTGTGAATTATGTGCTGGGTAACTAACCCAACTTTCTGTTGTGTGTTAGTGCCTTTCCACATAACCTTGTCATACGTTTGTGAGGTATATTTGAAGGATAACAGTCTGAAAACATTTTTGTGTTGACAAAAATAGATCCCCAATAGCGGGCAAAAACATTGCACAGAGGCAAAAATCGCGCGCACACTCACCTCAAATCGACTTCTTGAACTGCTTCGGCTGTGATTGCTATGTGACAGGCTGTTGTGATTAGAAAACATCAATTTCTTTTTTGCCAAATAGTCACGATCTATACTTATGGAACGATGCTTTTCCAAAATAAACGCAATGCTGTTGTTTTTATTCTGACACCACGTGACCGCTGTAAAGGTCCACTCGGAACACAGTCGGCATAACTTCGTTAAAACCTGCGCGAGGTGTTCGAAAAATTGGGAAATCGGGCAACATTTTCGGAATGCACGACAAACTATGCATTACCGTATTTACTCGTTTGAGCGCCGCGGCGCTCTTTAAATTTTTAGAACTTCAGATGCGGCGCTCATTCGGGGCGGCGCTCAATCGGGGGCGGCGCTCAATCGAGTAAATACGGTATTCTTGGAAGGACGGAATGAGTGGTGGTATTAAGTTTTATTAAGTGGTATTATTATTAATATTAAGTTTTTATTTTGACAGATTATCAAGTTCGTTTTCCACTTAGAGGGCACGGAGTACTCCCAGCAGATGTTTTTTATTTGGGGCGGGTACAATATATTTGACAGTATACTGAATCTTCGGGTATAGTAGAAAATGCGGGTGTGGTTAGGCGGATGCGGAGAGATTCGTGCGGGTAATGGTAGAAAACGCGGGTAAATTCGTGCGGATAATGGTAGAAAACGCAAATTCGTGCGGATAATGGTAGAAAACGCGGGTAAATTCGTGCGGCTAATTGTAGCAAATGCGAGTAAATTCTAACGGATTGTCTCATTAATGCAAAGTATATCGAATGGTAAGTTTAATATAAATATATCAAGTTCTTCAATGTGTTTTATTAAACTGGTTATCATGATCACCTGTTCGATTGGATGGTCCCGTGTGATCTCTATTGATATTAACACTATTAACTTTGCCCAGTCAATTATTAATTACATTGCGTTTAATATTTTTAGCAAGAATTGATGTCCCATATTTATTCCAGTAGTGACCATAATTATTCAGGTGGTACTTATCTATATTCTTCTTACTAATAGATCGCCATTTTCATTCGAAGCATAATTTGGCCTTTGTAGAGATTTGTAGAGAGTTGCCTTTCTAGTAGCCTTTAATCATCAACTCTGGTGGCTTTTTTCTGAGAATGTTACTTTTGGGCCCTTGCTCTGTTGTTTTATGGATTCCCCAAGTTTTGCTGCGGAATTAATTACGGCTTCTGGAGTATTAGCTTTCATATCATTAGTGCCAATGTGCAGGATTATCTCATCCGGGGTAGTAGACAAAGTTAGTTTGGCTAAGTGAGATATATATCAGCTATTGTAGCACCTGGAAATGTCTTTACTACAATCTTTGGTTTTACCCCGCTCTGGAGCTGTCTAGGGTTGATATGCTTAATCATTGAGTCACCGAGGACAGTCACTCTTGAGCGTGTTGTAACTCTTGCGTATTCGTGTCAACTTCAGATACTTCAGATAATATTGCACACTGGTAGCGCTTGTTTCTAAGGATTTACGAACTTCTGTTTGTGGGGATGAAGGTTTGCTTCTGATATTCTGCTTTGACGGTTGCCATGTAGCTGGGACCTCCTTCTCAACTTCTCAATTATTAAAATAGGACCAAACTAAATCTAAATTAATCGAACAGCATCAAAAGAACGGTTTATTTGTTCCTCTTGGAGGAATTGCCGTATCATTCGAAAGAAATCCAAACGCGCATCGGAAAATTAGTCAGAGATTTCGAGCTGTGCACCACACTCTTGGGAGACAAAACTGTGACGTAGGTAAATACGGTCACATACACCTTTCAAATACTAGTTTTTTTGCGCCAAAACACCCTTGCGACGACGAAAAATAATAAAAAAACAAAACAAAAACAAACAAAACCTGGGCGAATTTTCAACTACGTTGCTCACGCCGGAGTAATAACCGCTTAAGCTTAGCGATTTTGGAGGGTGGGCAAAAATATGATCATTTTAAATCCCGGTTCTTTTTAATCTGTTTAACTTCACACAAATCAATTAATATGTTCCTATTATATAAATCTACTATATGTTCTCGCCGTTGACTTATTTTTCTTACAGGGACGTCTCAAACTCCTATGTCCAATTTTCGCTTTGATTTGACCAAATGATACTCAAAAGAACGGGAAATTATTTATTTTTGGGAATGTTTTTTTAAGCGGATGACGAATAACCTAAGAAATACTTCACAAGCCATGTTCTTGGATTTTGTTACATTCCGTTACGCCAAGGGCTCACGAAATTTAGCAAAGTGTAAGTAATTGCATGAACAAAGACATGCCGTCGCATGCGAAAACAACAGCTTCAGGTTTCGATCTGTTTAATAAACATCAAACATGGCTTCGTATTTCAGTGCCGGATAGATTTTGTTATAAGAGAGTTTAAGCTTCACATTATACACGAAACGACAAACAGCAAGGAAAGAAAAAGTTTAAGCTATTAGACAAAAGGACAATAAAGGACAAAATAACTGAGATGTTTTAAAACTCCAGACAAAATAAATGTTGTCACATAAGAATGAAAATATGAAACAAAAGAGATGGATGGAAAATACTGCCAAGCAATATCGGCCTTGCCGTTTCCCGGAAACGCAAAGCTTTAATTCCCTATTTTTCTCGTTTTACGTGAACACGATTCAGTTTCACAAACGCTCACTTGCCCACTTTAAACATCTGCAATATTTGCAGTTATGTAATTAGGTTTGCATGGTGAACAATGCTAATGTTAAGTTGAAAAAACTACGATTGTTTCCAACTTTTGTCTTCGATGAGTGGATTGATAATAAAAGTTAGTACGACAGTTAGTGCAATAAGGGTAAATATCGTTTTCCCGAAAATCATTTCGGGTACGCTTCATAAAAAATGTCTTAAAAATAGATGATTCAGTTGATAGATTAGTAAACAAATGTAAAGAGTTCACAGTTTCTTGTCAAGACATGCCTCTTTTGTGCGAAAAGTCTGTAAAATAACAAGAATTTACTCGCGTTTTCTACCATTATCCGCAAGAATGTATCCGCATCCGCCTATCCGCACCCGCGTTTTCTACCATACCCAATCTTCGTGCATTGGCCTAAATCTACTCACACGATTGGTCAAAATCAATCACGTGGTTTCTTGTTGCCTGGCGACAAATCATGGGAATCATAAATCATAATTTATTCGCAATAGCAAGGCAATAAGCCATGAAAATCGTGGTTTATTCGAAATAAGCCATGAAAATCATTATTTATATTTTATAACACTCACCACAGTCCCTTAAATATTATATTCACTCTGCAAATGTTTTAACAATTAGTCATCCCAATGTAAAAGTGGCATGGCGTGTTTAAAAAGAGTATTGTTGGACTTTTTGGACCGCAGGCACAACAACCCTTTAAATTTCAATAACACAAACCCATCAATTGAGTCTTTATGGATTTCTGTTAGGCCTACTTATCTTCCAAGAACGATTTGCTTTCCTTCTTGCGGTCATCTACCACATTCCTGCGTCTTCTGCTCTCGAAAACATGGAATTATATAACCATATTCAAGTAAACGTCGATAATTTTCTTGCTAATCACCCTGAGGCTTTAGTTATGCTAACAGGAGATTTTAATCCGACTTGTACAGGTTTCAACAAAAAGCATATACTGACTTAACATCCCTCCGGCACAGTTGCCATATATGGGCTCTAGTGACCACAATCCAATTTTGTTGAAAACTCACTTACATCGTGATCAAAAACCTAATAATAATCATGTTTTAAAACAAGGTTTAACTGATAGTTGTATAAGATACTTTGGGCAGTGGATCACGAGTTTCGACTGCGACCTGAGGTATAAGAAGTTCAATGAAACATTAACTGAGAAGATCGATTTCTTTTTCCACCTAAATTTAAACGAGACAGGAAATGTGATAAACCCTGGATGTCATCTGCCTGGAAACTTTCTATAAAGAAACGCCAACGTGCCTTAATTACATAAGTATGTCATCCCAGGCCTACAAATTTTGGCGTGATAAAGTTCAATCAGAAATTAAAACGGCATGTGCTAAATTCTACCACCACAAGAACGTGAACGGCCGAACTTGAACTGAAGTTATTTTTTAAAAAAATTATTAAGATGCTATTCTTATTATCAAAAATTTATATTTCTGCTTGTTACGACTGGACTGCTAGCTTATACTGCTAGTATATTTATAAATTCTTACCTAAATTTATATCATATTTCAATCAACTTTTAATATTACTCACTTCGAAATCCGAATTACGAGCTAGTTATTTTCGGTCAGCAAGTTTACGCATGAGAGCAAGGACCTATATGACGTGAGCAACGCTGGTCTCATTCAGCTCCTGATTAAATAGGTCGCGCGCTCAGTCCATCTGGTATAGGTCAGTGGTGTTAACGCCTTTGTTCATGCTTAATCGTTTTGGGGGAAGAGCAAAATCGCGTGACTAACGCAGGAGTGTGAGTGAGACTTTTTTAAATCACACTGACTATTGATACCAGAGTCTAGTGTGTGTTGCGTCTGAAAGGCAGTGGCGTAGCGAGCCTGGCGATTTTGGCCCGCTATATGTAAATTTCGAGTTCATTAT